ATCCTCATTCCGTTTCTGGGCTATTGTGCCCCCCCCCCCTTTTTTTTTACTGTTACTGTATTGGACAGTCATTTATTAAATATCCTAAACACTTACCAAAATAAATCAAGTATTGCTTCTGTTTTTCTAGTGTCAAACTCTTTGCCATGGAAAATAGAATCGCTGATAAATTAAATGTTACAATTAAGTTACATCAAGTTTAATAACTGCACACCATTTTCTTTTGTGGTTGTCCTTTAGTGTTTTACAGATTTCTAAACTACTACTTTGCAATGTATAGGTTCACAGTAAGAATATATGCATACAACCATACACACATTTTACATAGGAATGGTTCTTGTTAACTATACATACAGAGAACCTAACATGGTAGTATTGTGCCATAAAAGCCACCCTATAGAGCCAGATACTTTGCCTTTTGAAGGTGATTATTTAAATTGTTGAAGTTGCTTGAGTCTGTTTCTGGTCCTTATTTTGTGGGGAATTAAAAAAAAGAAAAAAAGAATGTTGAGGCATAGAGCTCCTAGAGATTCTATGCAGTCACTCTGATGTGGATGAGAGAACCCTCCCCTCCCCCAACCCAGCAGATTCTGCTGCAGAGCCATGCAGACATGGCTGGAAACCACAGACTTGGACAAGAAGGTGACTCAGGAGTTCAGATTAGGAGTCTTGATGCTGCTTGATAGGTTTCCAGAACCAATACTGATATTTCTCAGCTGTCCTTCTGAAATATATTTGGGATTGACAAGAAATGAGTATGCAGAAAGAGATCAGTGTTCTAATTTATCTTGATAACCTCTGTTTTATGTAATATTCTTTAAAATCGGTTCAGTGCTGGGAGAGGTGTGAGGAGGAAGACCATACAGATTGGGGGTCGGGTTTGGCGTGGAATTCAGGGTGATCTGGTAGAGTTGGGATTAAGAGATGCAGTTAAAGGCTTGTTCGACCACTTCAGGGACTAAGTTGGTAATCCGTAATCTGCTATTTTAACCAAGTCCTGGTTTTGCTCATTAGACTGTGTCACTAGATGGGAAATTCAAGGACGACTCTGGGGGACTGAGTAGAGACTGAATCTGAGGAATGGCTGGATCTTTGTGTTACCAGGGTCTTTGTGGCCTTGAAACAATCTTAGTTGAAAGACTGAAGTTTTATTGTGGTGTTCGGTTTTCCCAAACCCAGCCTTTTTGGGAGGTTTGAGAAATCTTAATGAAGTGACAGAAAATGTCAAAGCCAACACATTGGAATTATATTCTTCATCTATTAGCTCATTCAGGAGATTCAGGTGCCAAATTAGTGCTGCATCATTTCCATAGCAATTGGCCATGTTCTCTGGGTTAGTAGGTCTGTTATGACATCACAAATGAAAATCATCAGGAAGGAAAGCTGACATAAGCATAGACATCCTCAATAAAAAGGAGGATATAGAGGATTTGTAACTAGCTAAGGTAGTCTTTCGTGTGTTTCTAAACTCACTCTTTAAAAAAAGTATTTTGTGTCTTTTTACATATTTATTAAAATATGCCTCTGATACCACAAGGTTTGTTGTCAAAAGGCTTACCCATGAGTAATAGAGATGATTTCTGTTGTTTTTTCTGAGTGTCAGCGTATATTTTGCATTGATAATTGGCTTTTTTTTCCCCCTACCCAGCAGACATCTGGCCTATCAGGGACTTTTATCTGTTTATTTGAGGCATTCCATATGGTCATTAGTGTTTGCCAAACATGTCTCCAGTCTTATTATTTGAGATTGTTGTGTATCAAAAAATTAGTGTTGTTCATATGGGCTAGATGAGAGTCAACACACCTGGGAAAATTCCAGCTGTGCGGGACATAAAATTCAGGAGCAGGATCACTATATATAGCAGTAAATATATGTATACACCAATCTTGCACCCCTTTGATGATAAGGAAGGCAGTTTATCATTTAGGATATTTCTGGAAGCCTAGTACAGACTTTTTGTGGTTATCGGGTACTTTCATTTAATTCTGGTCCAGGGATTTACTGTGTCTTAATTAAATTTTTAATCCTCTTGTGAACTAACTCCTTTATGAGGAGCTTTTAAAAACTGGATATTCAGTCCCTCAAGAGCTAGACTTGAGTTGCCAACTTTCTACAAAGGTCCCATGGCAGTTAGTTGGGAGCTTCATGGGGCCTGTTGTCCTGGATTCTCATGTACTTGGTGGACCAATTAGGACTTTGTGCCCTTTCACATCCACTGACCCCCATCTTTATGCTTATGAAGGGTGGGAAAGAGCAAATTGGTCAGCCTAGCTGAAATGTGTACCTTGGTGTAAAAGATGGGGTATTGTCCAGGAGAACCCTGTTCAACTGTTTATTCTACCTGCCTTGCCTTCTGGGGTAAATTCAGAGAAATCCTGTCTTCATTAACAGTAGAACAGGAGCTCTTGTTTCATAAAATATTAGACTCTCTTTATTCACCATATTGCAGTTAATTCTGCCAAAAAAACGTGGTCCAATTTATTCATTTTCCCCAACCCACACTAAGGTGTTGTGGATGGTGATCCATAAGATCTCTTGAATCGATCTTTACTTTTATGAGCACCGTAACTTCTGGTGAAAAAGTGCTCTATCTCAAGTCACCAAAACAAATCTTTAAAAATACTTTCTTTCAGCAATAATCTGAATTCACTTGGATCTCAGAATCATGGGTCAGGCAAGTTATCACTTGCCATAGTTTATTAGATTGCTTACCTTTACATATCACCCTATTTTTAGGAGCAGTGCTTTGTTTTGTGAACAGAGAATTATTTGTCATATTTGCATTTGCTCATTATAAACCATACTTTAAAGCAATTGAAGTTGGACAGATTTAAACCAAGGACCTAAATTAAAAGTATAGGGCATGTGTCAAACAAATTACTTTAAATTTATAGTACATTCACATGACGGGAGTGTGTGTATATGGTGAAAAATACTCTTCAGCTTCTATAGAACCTCTTAATAGTTTCTGTGTATTTTCTCAGTGCTTATTTATTCGTACAAAGAGAAAGAATAATTTACATATTCCAATATACTCTATCTCTTTCATAACAAAGGCTGCATTTATTGCTTGGTTCTTAAATTTTTTTTTAACTTGACTTGAATTTTCCATATAGGTACCCAGCTGTGCAATATTCTATCAGTGGATTGTGTGTTATTAATTTCATAAGCCTCCTCAAGACTTTTTTACTTTTTCCCCATAAAATATTTCTGTGGTATTTTCATGTAGTTAATTTTGGAGGATAAATGTGGGTGAAAGACATTTTGGCCACAGTACCTGATTTTTCATTGCTTTTAAAGCACGTTTCAGAGTTTGAGCTAGTTAAGCAACGGTAAAAGGAACTTCTCTTTGCCATATTTTCCCTCCACCAATTTTTCTGTCAGGGTGTAGTGGTCAAGGGACCACTTTAGAAAAAGATTTATTTATTTATTTTTTAAATATATTTTATTGGTTTTTTACAGAGAGGAAGGGAGAGGGATAGAGAGTTAGAAACATCGATGAGAGAGAAACATCGATCAGCTGCCTCCTGCACACCTCCTCCTGGGGATGTGCCCGCAACCCAGGTACATGCCCTTGGCCGGAATCGAACCTGGGACCCCTCAGTCCGCAGGCCGACGCTCTACCCACTGAGCCAAACCGGTTTCGGCAAAGATTTATTTTTAAGAATAGTTTTTAAGTCATTGTTAATTTAAGTGTATATAGAACAAGATTGGAAATGGTCCATTGAAATGTGGTGGTAATGCCGGTTTCTTGGCTTCCAATGATTTCTAAGGTGTGTGTGATGCTTAAGAAGGGAAAAGTACAGTTTATTTATATTCAGGAATTGGTTGAGAGATGTAACCTGATAGTTTGGGGTTTTGGAGTGTCTAGAGAGGGAAAGGGATGGTGCTATCCATGGTGCTGAATTGAACAGTGCTGGTATAAATGCTGGAAAGACTCTGAAATATTGGAGGTCGAGGACACACCTATGTACATATTTTTAAAACTAAATCTCCTGTTTGTAGCTGAGACTGTTTAATTTCTATAGAAGTGTCTGATGCCCCAGGGAAAGCTCAGTGCACAGCACTGATTAAATTGGGGACCAGCGTTAGTTGTAATGAGCTATTCTGATATGTGGAAGATGGCAAGGATCTAAAAATGTGAAATATGGCCCTTTTGATCAGTAGAGACTACTTAAGTCCTGGCTTTCCATCATTTTTTCCACTCCCCTCTTCTTTTACATCATGGACCTATGCCGGTGAAAGAAGATGGCTTTTAAATTAATTGGTAAAAATAGTGATGAGAATTCTAGTTAAAATTGACACCTTATATTTCCGAGCCATTGCTTAAAAGTTTTGAATCCATACTTCTGATTCTATGTAAATGTTTTCCAAGACATATTTAAGCAAGCATTCAGAATAAAAAAATCATTTTATTAGTTTCTTGGTCCTCTCTGGGCCTGTTATACATGCCAATCCTCCCAGGGTCCTCCTTCCCAATTCCCTGTGGCCCCCCCCCCCCCCAAAGCACACATGTTTTAGGGTTTGAGCAAGTTAAGCAATGGTAAAAGGAATGGTTTTTGCATGGATTTATACTTCAGTTATACAGTAATTATCCAGAGACTTTGAGAATGATAATTTAATATTTTAAGGTACTGATGTGTATCTGTGTTAAAAAGATATAACGTTTGTACACTCTTGTATATATTTCATAAATCAACATTTTCTCTAGGATTGATTGGTTTTAATGAGTAGGAAACCTACTTCAAAGTAAATATCATTGCAGATGGAGCAGATTACTATGTGGTATAGTGCATGTTAAAGTACATTTAGCATTTTGGAAATCAACCCAAGTTCATATTTAGTAAACATACTAATAAATGCCTTTTGGGTTAGGGTGCATTTATTTTGACACAGTTGTAACTTATTAGTGCCTAGAAATCATCAAAAGTACCAGTATAGTTTTATTTAATTTAAGCCAAGAAGGTAAAAACCATGGAATTTCTTTGTTTCTTTAAAGCTGGAGATACAGATGACCCACCAAGAATTACTCAAAACCCTGTTATCAACGGGAATGTAGCCATGAGTGATGGGCACAACAACACGGAGGAAGACATGGAGGATGGTAAGTACATGTGGTTTGCTTGCTTGCACCAGACAGAAACGCTGTCCGAAACACAAGTAGATGTGATGCCTATTTCTTCCTCAAGTTCTTCTGAGTTTCTTAAAAGTAGCTAGTTTTTAGGAGGTTGTGCCTGAAGAAAAATTGGGCATTGAATTGGTGTTGAGTTCAAGATTACCTACAAATTTCAAGGTAAGTTGATTCTCCCCAGCCTAGGTGAGAAGGTTTAAATACAGAAGCTTATAATTATATAACAGGTACACAGGCCTGCAATTTTCTGGCCACTGTTAGTATTCAGAATAACTACATGTTACTCTCCTTTCCTTCTTGTTGGCAGCAAGATACTTCCAGACATTGGAACTTGGCTTTCCATTGCATTCTTAGTGCATTGTGTCTACCAGTTGTCTGTACCCCACTCCTGTTAGGTGTGAAATCAGACCAAGCTTTGGACTTGATTCTCCCACACTAACTTTAGGTCTATATCTTCTATGCAAAAAACATACGCATATGTACATGCATGGACATTTTATGCCTAGGGAATCATTTTCTTTTGAGGCAGTTTCTTTTTTATAATTTATTAGATTATATGACCTATACATTGGCAAGGTCAGAAATCGTGAGCAGGTAGCAGCCAGTCATCACTTTATGCAGCCCCTGGAATCTTGCAGTGTAATATGAAACCATGTTCTGTCAAAAGCATGTCCATCAATCCTCATGAGGGTTGTGTCCTTCCCAGGGGTGTAACGGGGCAGTTGAAAGAAACCTCATCAGCCACGGGCTGCACCACCAGAAGGACTGCTGTTCAGACCTCCTGCCAAAAGTTCAGCCTCCATGAGAAACTGCAGCCGTAGTTGAGATTTCTCTGACAGTGCGGTTTACCCCCTGGCAGCTGGCTGAGGCAATATCTGAGGAAGGTAAAGAAGAGTGGTCTAAACCCCGCTGCTTTATTACCCGTGGAGTGCGCTTTCCACTCGAGACCAAGGGCAACGGTGTGGGTGTGGTCTCTGGTTGCTGGGCTTTTGGTTTTATTTTAGACACCGGAGATGCCAAAAGTAATTCAGAGAGTATAGTGGGAAGGCACAGCCAGGTCTGATGTACCAGGTGTGAGTGAAGGATCAATTCTCACCACTTGTGGAGCAATAGCTTGCCCAACCCAGTCACAGCACACTCAGTCTGGTTTCCACAGAGCATTTTCAATCTGATATTTCCACTGGTGTTTTTATGGGCAGAGGGCTTGGGAGAAGGCACAGGTGTAGATAAAAGGGCATGTGTCTCAGCCTTGGCTCTGTTGCCTTTTTGGGTGGGTCATTCTTTGTTGTAGGCGGCTGTCCTGTGTATTATAGGACATTAGTGTCATACCACCCTCCTCCCCCTAGTTGTGACAACCAAATGTCTAGATACTGCCAGTTGTCTCTTTGGAGCCAGAATGGCCTCATTTGTGAACCACTTATACGAGATCTTAATGTATGTAAAATCCCTTTTCTCGCAAAGTAATTTTACTAAATTATCAGTAGTAAGTAATGATGCTGAACCATAGAACCTAAAAATGGAAATGCTCCTGTTGTGAATTACCACATGGAGAAAGCATATTATAGGAGAAAGTAGAGTGGTCTTCAATAGCACTTTCTTCCTGGTTTGGATATTACGTGCTTTTTGAAAGACCCAGGAGTCAGAGAATGAAAAAATAATCATTTCTATTTGATGGCAAAGGGGGCAGGAGGGAGGTGGTTCTTGTTCTAGGCATAGAAGCCTTAAGGGCAGCATTTTCCCAGCCATCATGTGTATTTCAAAACTCTTCTGTAGGACATAAGTGTGTTGTGAATCTAGGAAGTTTGAGGAGTGCTAGGTTAAACAAGTTTCTGTAGTATAGGTCTCTGAGTCATTCGGTATCCCAACATCTTTCTCCAAAAGACTCTTTGTTAATGATTCCCCAAAACTCTGGACTTTAGAACCCTTTTTCCCTGAATCTCCTTTTAACACCTCAATCTGGAAAACACTGGATTTCAATGATCAATGCCTTAACTGTGCAGAGAGGCCCTAGTGTAAGGCACATTTCCTATACAAAAGTTAAGTAGCTAATACACAGTTTGGAAAAACATTTGTGGGGTAGAGGGCATAAGTCCTGTTAACACTGAGTTGTGGACAAGTATCAAATCGTTTCCTAGTTGTGCGTACCTACTGTACTTTGATGTTAGTATCTTACTGTCTTTGCTGAGATGACCATGAGAAGTTTTAGAGCAAGTGCAGCCTCGGCAGGTCTGGAGGGATCTAGATTGAGATTGTTGGTACCCATGAAACAAGAAATTTCTGGGAATTCATTAGGGCTTTGTAAAGACTTGTATTCGAGGCTTGATACAATCGACTGCAAGAGTGCCATTTGGGAAAACTTCACTCTAACCTTTTTGATTCAGAAAATCCAAGTATTTTATGCTCCTCTACTTTTTCACGAAACTAAACCTCAGGCCAGTACATTGGCCTTTGACCTGTGAAGATAAAGGTTGTTGTAAGAATAGGCATAATGGTAGCTGGGGACTAGATGGGAGCTGCTGCTGCTGCTGCTTTTCAGAGACAGGATGGGAAAGTAGTGGGTTATCAAGTTTTCTGATTGAGGATGTCTGATGGCAGCAGTTAACACAGCTCATTGTTCTATTATTTATAATAGAAAGATTCATGGAGTGATAGGTGCTCTGTGGCATCCTGGCAATTTAGAGTCTTTGTTTGGATGAAATACTAACACTGCAGGATGTGGGGTATCCTTCATAATTTCAGGTTTACTGCTTTCTTAAAACACTTTTAATTTTGAAGTCATTATAGACACAGGAAGTTGGAAAAATTGTACATAGAATCCCAAGGACCTTTCATTTATATTCTTGGGCAAATACTTATATTAGCCTGTTGTAATTCCTTATAGGGCTGTAGCAGGCCAGCCTTATCTGTCCAAGGTGGGTTTCAAGTAAGCTTCTCTTGTTTTGACCTTTTTGTATTCAAAATAATTTGAATTATTAAATTAGTATAAATAATTTCCAGTGATAGGGTAAGATTTCTATTTACTTGATTTCTATTCATGTTAAATTTCCTGTTTAGGAAGATAAGTTCTAAGAATGTGCCTTCAGTGTGAGGCAGAATCTCACATCTAGTGTATAATTCAACAAGTGTGAACTGAGTACCATGAGCCAGGTTGGCACCAGGCTCAGGGCACTGAGCCTCTGTCGGGCCTGCCATCGTGTGGACTCAGTGCCACGCTCACTTCACTATTGTTGGGTCCTATTTAACATTGAAAGATGAATTTAGAAATTGACTTAAATTCTGAAGAACAGAAAAGCACTGATAGGTGTCAGTTGTTAATCTGTATAAGAATCTAATCCTATGGATAGCTGAATTGTATCTGAAAACAAAATCATAATTAGAAGAGAGGTGGGACCTTGCAGCCTCGAAATCTTTAGGCCCCAGGAGCGAGTGTCCTGGGGTGCTCTTCGTTTAGTTCTGTTCAGTTCTTCAGTCAGTGTAAAGCAGGTCAGTTTTGTTGGGGTCTGTGTTTGGTGGAGTGTTAAATGGCATCCTACAAACAGAGGCAGGGTCATTGTGCTTAGCATTGACAAATCTTGAGTATTAAAACTCCCGTGGTCACTTTGTAAGAACACCTTGGATAAGATGAGCCAGTAAACCTCAGGGAGACTCAGTTTCCTTGTCTGTAAAGGGGGAATTAAGTACTGGCTGTCCTTGCTTACCTTGTAGGATTTAAATACCACTCAAATGTGACCTATGTGTCTATGCAAAAGGGGCCTGCTTTTCTCCTAAGCCATTCCATACACCATTCTCTTCAGCAAGTTTCTTGCCTTTTCAGTGGACTTTATTATCCATTAAAGGGATTAGGGTTGCCTGCCACTAGGAGAGGCTCGAATTCAGAATGCGATCACTTCTTAGATGTGACTAACCCCTGCTCAGCTGCTCTCCTTTTAAAGGCTTCACTGTAAACTGCCGAGCAGTGTTATGTGTAGGAAAAATTCTTAGGGATGAAGAAAGAGTGTTTAAAAGAAGGTAAAAATGCTGTCACACATACATTTGGCTTTTCTTTTTTTTGGTAAAGAATATTAACCTCTCATGAGGACTGATGGACATGTTTTCCTAAGAACAAATCAGTCACAAATCAAGCAGTTTGTGTACACTGAGAAGTCTGTATCCTGAGTACTTGGCTATCTCGGTGCAGTGTGGAGACTGAAGGATGAAGGGAGGGAGTGTTCTCTTAACCTGCTCTTCTTCCCCTAAGCCTCCAGTCTCATTGGGGACCTCAGGAGCCAGTCGGGCAGGATGTCAAAACAGCACTGATTCTTAAACCCTCCATGCCCCTTCTATTCTGTAAACTAATTGTGGCTCCTCAAGGTGTAGCCCTTGGTCCCCTGCCTGTCTGTGAACTGTTCCCAGTCTGCAAGGGGATAGGTACAGAAAGTGAGAGGAAGCATTTAGAAACATGTACCTTGCTGTGGCAGTTTTACGATGCTTTATTTTTAAGTGCTGGCAGTGATAGATTGGCGGGTGGCCTTGGGAGGACCACTCCTTCACACAGGGAGTCTAAGAAGTGTCGATATGGACACTGCTGGGTTTATCAAAGCTAATCTGGTGCTTGTGTCAATTGTAAATGAATAGCCACCATCAGTAAAAGCTGGAATTCTAAAGTTTGTGACATTAGTTGAATGTCTAACAGGCACTACAACAACACATTGCTTTTTATTGGAGAAAATCCTAATTCCTTAAATTTCCCTTTAGTATCATTGAGTAATAAAGAATACCAATTTTTCTATCTCTCTCTTTTTTTTTCTTTTGCTAGGGAGTCCAGGCTGATTTTTCACAAAAATTATGAACTAATGAAGTTATTTAACCTTTATTTATAGGCTAACTTTTCAGCAATCTTCTTGTCTCTAAACAGTGCCGTGCTTCCTTGGGAATAGCCCTTTACCCGAAAGGCCACCTGTGTTTGCAAGTTCAGCACCCCCTTCGTTTTTCCTCTTCAGCTCAGCCTAAGTCTCAAGGCTTTTTCTTTTCCCTCCACAACCCCTGACCTTGACAGACGTCACATGTTTCATCCCTTCTCTCCAAAGCTCCTCCAGGCACTAAGAATTATGTGAGAAGTAAGAAGTAGAATAGCTGTTCTTATCACACTGGACTCTTAAAAATCTAGGAGGGAAGGCAGGTGTGTGTTGTTAGCCTCCTGAATTTGGGGTTTCATTCACACAGAAGCTGCATATCATTGTGCTGTTTTAGGTTATTAGTAAATTGGGCTGATGTTATTTTTCCAGAGAGCTAGGTTTTAGCAGCTAGTTGATGTCGTGTAGAATAGTTTATTCCTGTTTGTTGGTGCTTTCAGGGCTGTTTTACCGGCTCTGATTGACAGTCACGTGTTTTCTTGCAGACACGAGTTGGCGCTCCGAGGCAACCTTTCAGTTCACTGTCGAGCGCTTCAGCAGACTGAGTGAGTCGGTCCTTAGCCCTCCGTGTTTTGTGCGAAATCTGCCATGGAAGATTATGGTGATGCCACGCTTTTATCCAGACAGACCACACCAAAAAAGCGTAGGATTCTTTCTCCAGTGCAATGCTGAATCTGATTCCACGTAAGACAGTTTAAATGATGCAATTACAAATCCACAGATAGTTATAATACATTTGGCCTCTTTTTGAATTTTTTTTTTTTTTAATTTCCTTAAGCCTCTACAGTCCTTTGATTTTAAATTAGATTAAATACATTTCCCTCTTTAAAACTCACCGGTAGGTATTACATCCAAATTAAAAAGATACGTATTTTTCTTGCATATACAGAACTAAAGTGTTTGTATGAACACGGAATCAGGACCCAGTGGATTAGCTGAATACTGGTTACCAGGCTTAATTCCTTTTCAGCAGTAACTCTCCAAGGGGAAAATTTGGTTAAGAAAAATTATTTAGGCTGACATCTTTCTCATTTTGTGTTAATCATTTCATATGGGTTATTCAGAAAATTCAAATGAAAACATTCGAGGGCACTACAACATGAGCCTACTTGGCTTATTTTAGAGAATAAATTTTTATTCATGTAATTTCTAAAAAGAGGTATGCTATAAAATGTCTTTAGAAAGAAGAAGTGTCTTTGGTGGTCCCTCCATTCAGGTAAAGCCAAAGATTAGAGGTTTCACATTTTCTGCCTACTTCCAAAAGCTTCTTTACTCTTCTTTCCTTTAATTAAGAACTGTCACTGTTCAGCGTTTATCAGTTCCCCTAGTTGTGACACTGTTTGAAGGGATTCCAGATCACTTTGTCACCAAGCTGCTTCCTTGGACCACATCTGCATAGACTCCCTGTCACCTCCTGATTGTGGCTCTTTGGTGCCCCCTGGGGAAGGTTGTTCCCCAGAGGGCACTGGTTCTAGTTCTGTCAAAGCTCCAGGGAACACAGCTCATTTTATTTTTTATTTTTGAATTTTTAGGAAGTGCCAAGCCCATTTTATGGTGCAGCCAGGGCTGTATTCAGATTAACAAAATTTTCCCCTATGTTCACATTGTGATCAGATCTGATGAGTATTGGGCTAGATTGTAGTCTGACAGCTTTAGCCTGAACAGTTGGGAAGCACAGCGAGCCGTCCACATCCAGCATAAGGATCCAGAGCAAGTGGAAGTGCCGAGGTGACAGCCCTGCTGTGCTAGGTATTTCAGTGAGTTTGCAGCCCGTTCAAAGTTCATTCCTTTATAAGCTCTACTTGCATTGTAAACCTGATGGTGGACTTGTAAAGTGGCATATCTTTTTGGTTTTTAAAACGTTTTTATTTTCTTCAGAGAAAGGAAGGGAGAGGGATGGAGAGATAGAAACATTGATCTGCTGCCTCCTGCACGCTCCCTACTGGGGACAGAGTCCGCAACCTGTGCGTGTGCCCTGACTGGGAATTGAACCAGAGACCTCTTGGCTTATGGGTCCTCATTCAACCACTGAGTCACACCCACTAGTATCTTTTTCTTTATAAACATCGATCCAGAGGCCCTTTGTGTTCTGCTCAAAACGTGACTGACAGCAGCTATGGTCATGTTTCTTGGTTGTGATTCGGTACCCATGCTTAGAGTTTCTCAGGAGACCTGTGTGGAAGATGCTCTTCAGAACTTGACAGCCACAGCACCTATGAGCCACCAGGGGCAGGAATGATGCTTAGAAGTGATGACACCTTTATTAGTAGAACCATTTTTTCCCTATTCTTTTCTTTCTTTCTTTTAAATGTATTTTTTATTGATTTCAGAGAGGAAGGGAGAGGGAGAGAGAGAAACATCAATGATGAAGAGAATCCTTGATTGGCTGCCTCCTGCATGCCCCCACTGGGGATTGAGCCAGAATCAGACCTGGGACCCTTTGGTCCGCAGGCCAACACTCTATTCACTGAGCCAAACCAGCTAGGGCTTTTCCTGTTCTTTTGAAAGAATATCAATAGAACTATAATCTGACCCCAAAGCTGTAGTCTTTTATAAAATCTAAACATGTATTTTATAGATACATCTATAAGAAACTTGAAGTAAACTTTTGAAAAATTAATAAATAATAAAACCATGGGTTAAATCAGTACATAGGAGCACCCCCAAACCCTTTCAGCCTTTTTCTCCATTAAAGGTAAATGTGTCTTCCTCAATCCCTCCAAAAGAGAAAAACAATAAGTATGGGAATTTTTGTGTGCTGTATTCTTAAAAATGTAAACATCAATGAAACATGTTACCTAAGTCTTAGATTATTTTCTTTAAACAGGTCGTGGTCTTGTCATGCACAAGCGGTGCTGAAGATAATAAATTACAGAGATGATGAGAAGTCATTCAGTCGTCGTATTAGTCATTTGTTCTTCCATAAAGAAAATGATTGGGGATTTTCCAATTTTATGGCCTGGAGTGTAAGTAACAGTGGGTTTAGCCTGAATAACCTGAGCATCATTCTGTGTTACCCTAAATCTTTTATTTTTCAAGGCCTTCTATTTATTTTAGAATAAGTTGGCCAGGTATCTATATGTGGTTTTGTTTCTTGGCTAAGCTTTTAGCAGCCAACAGGACTCAAGTCTCAACATTTGGTCAAAATTGATAAGTTGGTTAATAGCTTTCCTGTTAGGTAAATTTCCGTTAAAAGAAATAATACCAGTTGGGGTCCTTTCCTGAGTCAGACATAGTGCAGGGTGGTTGTAGGTACCTTCCTGAATTCTCCAGTCAGTGCATTTTGGCTGCTTTTTGCAGAGGTGGAAATAGTCTCCTAGCATGGGTTCCTGGAACCGCCCATCCCTGCTTTGATGAGCAGACACTGATCCTTCAATTTCTATGCGGTGGCCTTGCACCCCCATTGCATCTGGGATTCCTCCTTTTATTCAGAGAACAGTTTAAAATAAACCAAGAACACTACAAAACGAAGCATAATTGGGATGCTTGAAAAAGTAGCATTTTAATTCATTAAGCACAGGACACTGGGATAATTGTCTTGCTGGAATGAAGGGAGCATTCGTGTGATCTTATTCAAGTTGGATATTCTTTTCTTTTTTTTCTTTTTTTATAGGAAGTGACTGATCCTGAGAAAGGATTTATAGATGATGACAAAGTGACTTTTGAAGTCTTTGTACAGGCAGATGCTCCCCATGGAGTTGCGTAAGTTTTTCTTTAATTGGGTGTTGTTAATGTGTTTTGTGCTGTAGTGAGGGCAACATTCTCATACTATCAGAGATGCATGTATTCCACAGATAAGCACCCTGTCTGTGCTGCCCCTTGGCACACATGGAACACACAGACATATATGCAGCTTCACATTCACTGCTTTGTTTATTAGATTTATAGAGCAGTTTTCTTATGCCAGACCCTGCTGTGCATTAAGAATATAATTATAGAGTCAACAAGACAGCCTTGGGTTTCTGTCCTCAAAGAATGTACATGCTGGTCTGGTAAAGGAGTAAGACCAGCATGTAAATAACTACAGCAGGAGTGGCTCTGTTTTTATTTTGAAGAGGTCAGGGATGTACAACATGGGAGCATCAGCATGTGCTGAAGGGGCCTTGGCCCACTGAGCGGTGAAGTAGTGAGTGGGGTGCCACAGAGCTTAGAGGAGGGCCTGCTAGGAGATGCGTCTGTCACTCATCCAGGAAGGCCTGTGTGCAAGAGGAAGTGTTGGCCTTAAAGAGTGGATGGGTGACTGGGTGATGAGGAGGGACAGTGGAATTTGGGAGTAGGGAGAACACATGAGTGAAGACACTAGCAGGGAAGTTTGGGATTGGGCAGAGTATCAGGAAAGTGTGCAAAGTGGAACTGAAGGCTGAGATGATAATTTGGGATCATGTTATAGAAGACCAACACATTTAAAATAATATATTTCAGAGAGGAAGGAAGAGGGGGGGAGGGAGGGAGGAAGGGAGGGAGGGAGGGAGAGAGAGAGAGAGAGAGAGAGAGAGAGAGAGAGAGAGAGAGGGAGAGAAAGAGAGAAAGAGAAACATCAATAATATTTCAGTGATGAATCATTGATTGGCTGCTTCCTATCCGCCCTCCACTGGGGATTGGTATCAAGCCCACAACCCTGATAAGGAATTGAACTGTGACCTCCTGATTCATAGGTCGACATTCAACCACTGAGCCACATCAGCTGGGCCCAACACACTTTTTAAGGCCCAAAGCGAAATAATAACACTCTCTCCAGAAAGAAGTTAAGTGACAGATTCCAGTGTCTTGCTTGTGATATTTTGTTTCCATATGGCCCTGCTCTTGGTCAAGAGTGCACCATTGGTTGACCTGGATGGAATGGGGCAGAGAGCAGTGGAGTGGCCCTGAAGGAGCTGGTACTTAGTCCAGGTCCTGGCTAATGTGGCCTGGGGGTGGCACTGGGAATTTTTTTAAAAGCAGATAACATTAATTAGTTTTATGTTAATTGGACCAATACAGGAGGAATTAGGCTTTTTTTCTGAGTTGCCTTTTCAAAACACACACGCTGTATTCTAATATCAGAAGTGGAGGGCTGAAACAAGGTATTGCTAATTTTTTTGATCTCCTCCCCACCCCCTTCATTTAAAAACACTTATCCCTATGTCTCTTGTCTTAAAAAGTAGATTGGGGTTTTCAGCCTTACCAATCAGAACATTAATTGGCTTAGCCACACTTACCAAAACTTATTCAGCCATTATCACCTTTATGGTTATAGTTCTTAAAATAACAATCTGTAATTTGTGATTCTTGCATTAAAAAATTACTTTTACACACATGTGCAAATTTTAACTGGGCCATTTTGACACACCTTGAGTGTGTTTGCCAAGGCCATGAACTAACCCCTGGAATTCGGAGTACTGTTGACATTTGATCTCATAGTAAATACCTCCTCTAGGATTGGTCACACTTAGTGGCAATCACGTTTATATCTTTGCACTACACACACACGGGAAGGTGGAGATGGAGGTGGGGGATTGTCCTGCTTTCAGGTGGTATCCTCTTCAACTTCCTGTTTTGGCGGGGGTGGGCTGGGGTGGACTATTAACTCTGAGAAAAAAAAAATCTATCTTCTAACCAACCACCAAAAGAAAAGAGTAAGAGAAAAAGCTATAGATGTTTAAAAGTCTGCATCACAACTTGCCAGTATACATGCTTATCTTTTCTGTGTATATGATTACAGAAAAGAGGGGTCTCAGCTATTTCCACTTCTTGCTGACTACACATGACCTAATGTGCATGTAATAGAACCACAGTGGGTGTCATTTTGATAGAAGTATATAGAATTTAAGCCCTGTCTGTGAGTGCTGATCTTGGTAAATGATGGCATTGCTACTATCAGCAGACAGTGTTTTAAGCTGCTTCTTGAACACTGAGATTGAATTAGCACTGGTCCACACACTTGGGCGGACAGTCAGTGACCATTGAAGGGAACCCTGTGATAAGAACTCTTGGCCTTGGTGTCCTCCATGTCACAGGCCTAGTTGATGAGTTATTGCCTTGGAGGGATGCTTGGCCTTCATTCCTGTGTCAGGATGGTGGGAAGTGAAATGTTGGCCACCATGTTGACATCTCATCGAATCGCTCCACACACATTGCAGAAGCAAGGGGGTGTCCTGTGCAGTTTTCCCTCAACCTCAAACTGATCTTGTAGGTGGGATTCAAAGAAGCACACGGGCTATGTCGGTTTAAAGAATCAGGGAGCGACTTGTTACATGAACAGCCTGCTGCAGACTTTATTTTTCACAAATCAACTACGAAAGGTAAATGGATGGTATTTCTCTCCCCAACCTCCACCCACCCTTTTCTCTCAAGTGTTAAGGCACAAGCAAAACTCTCTCGCCAACTTTCGTCTTATCTTCCCGTATCACAGTGCTGTCTCCAGAGAGGGCCCCTGTGTTATGCTTGTGCATATTTTTATTCCTCAGTGTTTGGACACTTTCAAAGCTAACTGGGGTGATCAGAAGTTCTCTACAGCTAATAATCCTAACTTTGAGCTAGAAATAATATGGGTTTGTTTTAGATCTGAAAGCCATGAACATGATTTGAAAAGTTCTTTATAAAAAAATTCTTCAGTTAGAAAACTACTGGCTGCGACATATAATTTTCAGCTATTATAGGTAAAACTTATATTTGTAAGAATAGTTAAGCCAGAACAAACCTCCTTTGAATCTAACGTAGGAGAGAGCCGTGAGCAGCATGGAGCAGTGCAGGCAACACGGACTCCTGGTTGGGGGGCACCACTGGCTGGTCTGCTGGTTCTCTATGTTTGCGCTATTCTTCTAGTTAATTACCATAGAAGGATTTTATCCTGGGGATAGCTGAATATGGATAGTTTCAGTAGCATTTGTTTCATCAAATCTTTTGTTTACAAGTAATGTTAAGTTTAAAAATGTTGCTCCGAGAAGTATGACATGAGTGTGGTTCTCTTTTGGATGGTGAGCTATAGGTAATTAAAAAAAATATTTTGTCTTTTTTTTCTAGTTTGTTTCTAAAGACTTTTATGATTTTAAAAAAACAAAACACACTTTGTGGCCTATTTAGGGGATAACTAAAAGCCTTTATTAAACTACCTTAGCCATTGTGATATTAGAAAGTGTACTTTCACATCAAATTTCACTTTTATGACTTCTTCTAGGCCGTGTACATGATGCCAACAGAGGGTGATGATTCATCCAAAAGTGTCCCTTTAGCATTGCAGAGGGTGTTTTATGAACTACAACACAGCGATAAGCCCGTAGGAACAAAAAAGCTAACAAAGTCATTTGGGTAGGTATTCAAATCTGCCTTTCCATTCTGCTGCTTTTCTTACGGATGAGTGAGTTGCTAGAAGAAAGGGAGCGTAGTGTAGGCATTTAATTATGTCGGAGTGTTTTTATCATTGCATTTTATTTGACCTCTTTGGAAAATAGGGGCTTGGTTTTAGAAAATTGCTTGAGGAATAAGTCACCACTTAAAGCTTTACCTGTCAGGAAAAGGACATGTATAGTTTTTAAGTGAATGTGTACTTACTTGCGAACATGACCTCTCCTTGCAGTAAGTTGTTTAGAACAAGATAAAGTTGTGAACATTTGGGTGTCCTGATAAAACTTAGTTTATGTTTTAATTATAACCCCCCAAATAATCTTTGCAGAAAATGAATTTAAGAATAGTGGCCGATTATTTTACTGTGTAGTTTTTTGTTTTGTTTTTTTAATATATTTTATTGGTTTTTTACAGAGAGGAAGGGAGAGGGATAGAGAGTTAGAAACATTGATGAGAGAGAAAGATCCATCAGCTGCCTCCTACATGCCCCCCACTGGGGATGCGCCTGCAACCAAGGTACATGCCCTTGACCTTGACCAGAATCGAACCTGGGACCCTTCAGTCTGCAGGCCAACGCTCTATCCACTGAGCCAAACCGGTTTGGCCTGTGTAGTTTTTTTTTTAATCCAAGCTGCTTGTTAATTTATTCTTATTTGAAATGTCAAAGTTTCAATATAAACGTTCATTTTCTCTTTCCAAGGTGGGAAACTTTAGATAGCTTCATGCAACATGATGTTCAGGAGCTATGTCGAGTGGTAAGTATTAAGCTGTCATTGTATACTACTGACATCTAATATTTTGAAACACTGTCTGAAGCTGTTTTCAAGTAAAACCTCAGACCTACCTCACGTCACTATAATTCAGATATACCCATCTTCGTTCAGGACCAAAATTAGGCCAGAAGGAATTAGCAGTATCTTTCTAGTTAAAAATCCAAAAAGGATGAAAATAAGTTATTTGAAAGGGAAGTATGAGGGGAAACTTGAATTTAAATAGGGGGCAGCATACGTTTACTGTGTTAACCTGGAATATCTACCCGAGTTATTATAAAAGAAATCCCAGGTTGGCTACGTAGCCTTCCTGACTGCCCTGCTGCACTTCAGAAGGGTGACTTCTGTTACTGCCCTGCAGCGTCCCGGCCCCTCCTTTGCACAGATGTTCTGGTTGAGGCAGAGCTCTGTGTGGGTGATTCTCCCCCAAACCAGCTCTAGCCAACCAGCAGATCCCATTCTTCCAGTTGCGATGAAAGACACACACACACACACACACACACACACACACACACACACACACACAACATGACATGGCTGTTCAAGGTGATTGGCTGGGCAAGGTGTGTTTTCTTTTTTGCAGCACTAGCTGGGTTGAATCCAGTTCATTAAATATCCATGGACAAACCAGTCAATCCTGTTGACAGGCTCAACCTCATTAATCTCTTGGTGTGGACCAATACGAGTTAAGTTTAGTGCTCAATTTACATGCTTTTCCACAGAGGTAAAATGAATATAAAAAATGCTTCTAAAGGCACTACAGATTACTAATTCATTCCAAAGGCTGGATAGAGAGTTAATCTCAACTGTTGCATGTAGATATTTTTGTAAATATCCAACCAAGGAAGAAGACTTTATATATTTTTGATAATTGCATGCCAAAGGTCATAATATTTATAGTCTAGAATTTGACCATTGAAATTTCCTAGTCAAGTTGCAAATTACTGTATATTTATTAAACATAACATTTTCCTAAAGCCAAAATTTTCTCTTCCAGTTGCTTGATAACGTGGAAAATAAGATGAAAGGCACGTGTGTAGAAGGCACCATCCCTAAATTATTCAGAGGCAAAATGGTGGTATGTGGCCCTCTCTCTTCAAGAATGATTTTAAAATACTTAAAAATGCTAACAGTGTTCTGATTAATACTCACACCATGTCCTCTTCCTTTGTAGTCCTATATCCAGTGTAAAGAGGTGGACTATCGATCTGATAGGAGAGAAGACTATTATGACATCCAGCTGAGCATAAAAGGAAAGAAAAACAGTAAGTTGTGTGCACGCAATGGCCTGCTGCCTGTCTGGTAATTTCTGTTGCGGTTCAGTGCTTCCTTACAGAAGTGCTTGCCATTGAACTGGAGCATAGACAGCCACGTGCCCAAACGCTGCGTGCACAGCTCACCCAGTGAACACGCACACGCAGCCCTGCCTGGCCCTTCCCATCACTGCCTCCTCCGCAGGGGAAACCACTACTTGAGTTTCTAACATCCTGTTATAGGTTGTATTTGCATGTTGTAAATATTTATGTAGGATGTAGTGCCTTTCTCACTTTGCTCAGCATTACTTCTGTGCAATTCACCTATGCTGTGAGTAGCAATAATTTGGTCATTTTCATTGGCTTACAGCATTCCCCTTTGGAAATGTATTACAAGAGTTTTGAAACCATCTTTTTTTGATAGATGTCTGGGTTGTTTTCACTGTGAGGCTGTTAGGCATAAGCTCCTTGGCCATGCTTATTTCTGTCTCCGGGGCACATACATATTCACATTTATGATGAGTGGGATTGCTGGCTCACAGGGTACACACATGTTAAGCTTAATAGATAAAGTCAGCAGTTTCTCAAAGGGGTTTATCAGTCGTGTAACCACCACCCCTCTCCCCCCCCCCCCAACAATGTGTGGGAGCTGTCAGTTACCAGATTGAATGTTTTGGTGGGAGAATGGTGCTCTCTGGGCTTTAATTCACACTACAGATCATGAAGTGGTCGCTTTTTCCAGTACCTATTAGTAATATGGCTATCTTTCTGAACATAATGGAATACAGTTCATAAAACTTGCAGCCAAGGACATTAAGTTATCATCACCTGTGTGATTTCTGTTGAATCACCTTTGTCATCTTTATGGCTGTGTTTGCCGGCTGTGTGGTATGCCTGGTAATCTTTCATTGGGTGCCAGCCGTTGTGATTTTGATGGGTGTTTGCATGCGCTTAACCTTTGTTCTAGGGCACAATTAAGTTACTTGTCAATAATTTGTTTTTTTCAAGTCTTGCCTTTCAACTTTGTCAGGTGGGAGCACAACAGTTTTTAGTTCAGGGCTAATTTGTCCTCACAACTGAGGCAACACCTGAGTTTCAGCCTGAAGTCCTAGGAGGCTTTCCCTTGAGGCAGGAGGGAACACAGACCAGTCTCAGGCTGGTGTGAGCTCTGGGGCCCGTGCCTCTATCGTGAGGTGGTTTGTCCCCCGGCCCCAGATAATGTCCTCACTCTCCTGAGTACAGTGACCTGCATTCACCGCAGGCTCCAGGACCCTGTGCGCCACTGGCGCTCTCTTCCTCCACAGCTGTCTGCCCTTGGGCTCCCTGTCCTGCACATTTGAGCTTCCTTGGCCCCTCAGGCCTGTTTGAGTTTCTTCTCCCTGGAAAGTACACGTAGTTGGGATACTTGCGGGCTCTCAGAGGTCACCGCTCCGCACTGCCTGTCATCCGGAGTGTGGGCAGTGTTGTTTTCCATGCAGTCCAGGGTTCTACCGGTCCAGTGCAGGAGAGGAAGTCCGGCTCCTGTTACTGTCACCAGCAGCACAGGAGCCTTCCTGTCTGCACGCCACTTCTGGGTGGGGTCGCTGAGGCGTTCCCCCAGAGTGGGGCTCGCCTTTTCACTCTTTTTGTGTAACAGAATTTCGTAACTTAAGTGATCACCAGCGTATCAATCTTTGTTTTTTGTGTCCTAAGAACATCTGCCCTGAAGTCATAAGATATTCTCTTATCTGTTATTGTTCTATCTTTTCTGTTTATCTACAACCCACCTGTAATAGTTCTTTTTGCATGTGTGGGATGTTAAGATTCGCCACCCCTCACCTCTTCCCCTTGGATGTCAAATGGTCCCATCATATTCTCCTCATTGCTCTGCGATGCAGTTTAATGGACACTTACACGATATTTAAAGTGCACATCGTATTTGACATGCGTATGCTTTGTGAGGGATTACTTTCATCTGATTAGTGAACACATCCGTCACCTCACGTGTTTCATTCCTGTATTTCTTTTGCAGAGAACACTTAAGTTCTACTCTACTTTCAATTGTACAATATGGTTTAAACAACTATCGGCACCATGTTTTACACTAGGTCCTCAGACCTTACTCATGTTATATCTCAAAGTCTGTGCCCTTTACTACCCTCCCTAGTCACCCCCCCCCCATTCCTTCTCACTTTCTACATTCTCTTAATAATTGTAGCTTTATAGTAAGTGCTTGAGTCACAATTTGTTACTTGCTTTTGTTAAAATCTTAGAACACTGACTCCATGTTATTTTTGTAAGAACCTTAGGAAACCATGTCATGAGCATTTAGGCCTTTGCTGGATTAGTGAAGGTGGTATGGCAAGTTTAACTGCTCTCTGTTCGGGGCTGAGAGGTACTGCTCGCAGTCAGTCAGTTACATTCCCTTCCCTGGCATTCCTAAATGTATGGCGTTGGCTTTATTGTAATCAAAGCTTTACTGATAATTTCGGCTGACTTTTTCCTTTCTCTCTTTAAAGTATTTGAATCATTTGTGGATTATGTGGCAGTAGAACAACTAGACGGTGACAACAAGTATGATGCCGGGGAGCACGGCTTGCAGGTAACTTGGACATTTGTACCAGTGTCTTGGTGTAGCTTTTCACTTTCTTCTCAAATCTTTTGCTTAATTGTGAACTAACAATTTCCTCATAACTTTCCATATGCTGCTGTTATTTAGAACTCAAAAGGATTTCATATCTTAGCCTAGACAGTATATATTAGAGAGCTCTGAGTGTGCGGCTGGTGGGGTTGAACGGGAAGGGCTAGGAAGGTGTCAGCAGGACATTGAAGCAGTTTTTTATTAGAGGTAGGACTGTCACCGGCACACCCTAGGCTCTGTCCCCATGTTTGACGACTTTTCCAGTTCACTCGTTCGTTACTCTGTTTCTCCCGTTCCTGGTGTCAGTGCACGGGCTCTCCTCAGTTCCTCCTAGTCACACATAGAATTTCTCAGGCACGTGGAGTCTGCATTTGCTGGTGATAACAGTTTTCTGGGGATCCTGACTCCAGAATGAGGAGTCATTTTCTGATATCTGTTCCATGATACTTGGTGCCCCACTTGTTTTCACATTGCCCTTCAGGAGCTCTGAATTTCTGGCAGAGCAGGGAGCGTCCACGGTCGGATAATTCATGTTGCTGATGTGCCACTTAGCAGTGGGCCACAGGCCTGCTCTTCTGCTTGGTCGGGCCTTTCGGGACACCAAGCAGTAAGTCACTTGGATGTGCCAGGACATACCTGTGTTACTCAGGAGAGTTACCCTTAACCACACTGGCTATTTGGGGTCTGGGCGAGCAGTATGTATTTCCGCATCATAGATACAGCATCAGGGGACAGTGGTGGAGTAATAGTTCTTTTGTTATTATTTCAGGGTGTATTGAAACCATGCCAGTCCTTTGTGTGGCAGTAGGTTCTGGGATTTGTTTTTCCTTCCAGATGCCCTATCCCCTTAAATACACTAATGTATATCATAGAGCATTGCCAAGTAGCTTGCCTGATACAGCTACCAGTTCCTTTAGGTGGTCGTTAAAGTGCCGAGGGAAAGTCTGGGTTGGAAATCAACCTGATGAGGGTCACAGGTGGCCTGGAAGTGGTTGAGTTGGCAAAGGCTTACTTTCGAGAGGGAAAAAGCATTGGCTGAGGTGGAGCAGAGATGGGAGAGGCGTGAGCGCTGTGCAGGCACAGGCCCCGGAGGAGCCGAGTTTGGGAGTTGGGGTGTCTGCACAGGCAGCAGGGAGAGGCCATGTTGCTGGCACTGACTCGGAACGTTCTTCAGATGTGGTCTGAGCAGTAAGTGCTGTGAGTGTGCTCCACAGTAAGATGAAAGTCCGGGGCAAGGACGCCGCTCACGGAGAGTCCCCCAGCATAGCCGCTCGCCGTGCGGCTCTGTCCAGGTCTTCCTAGCACTCCTTCGCTTGCGTTACTGCATTTTCTCTTAGGCTTTTCCACCTGGTCGTTTTTCCTGTGTTCCTCCATATTTTTCATAGTGTTAAATGACTATAAAATATGTCAGAAAGTGACCAAACCTTAATTTACTCAACTATTCCCTTGTTGCTGGATATCAAGATAGAATGTCATCCTTAGGGAACTCTCACATGCAGTAAATATACAGTGGGGCCTTGACTTACGAGTTTAATTCGTTCCGTGACAGAGCTCGTAACTCAAATTACTCGTATATCAAATCAATTTTCACCATTACAATGACACATGATGCTGGGCTGATGTTGTGGCGTTCACTGTGACGTTCGCTGCGCCAACTAGCGGTGGGGTATCTGAAGCTGGCATGTAACCCGAATTTTAGCTCGCAACTCAAAGCAAAAAATCAGCCGAGAAACGGCTCATATCTCGAAAAACTCTTTAGTCGGGTCACTTGTAAGTCAAGGCCCCACTGTAGATCTAAATATTTTTTGTTTGTTTTTGTTAATCATCACCTGAGGATATTTTTTCCAAGATTATTTAGAGAGAGTGGAAGGGACGGGGGAGACTGAGAGAAATATGGTTGTGAGAAAGGCACTTCCATTGGTTGCCTTCCTGCACTTGCCCTGGCTGGGGTTGGGGATAAAACCCGCAACCCAGGTATGTGCTGGTTACTGGGAATCAAACCCATGACCTTTTGGTGCACAGGCCGACACTCTAACCCAGCCGTGGGCAAACTACGGCCCGCGGGCCGGATCCGGCCCGTTTGAAATGAATAAAACTAAAAAAAAACACACATCATTATGTAATGATGTTTACTTTGAATTTATATTAGTTCACACAAACACTCCATCCATGCTTTTGTTCTGGCCCTCCGGTCCAGTTTAAGAACCCATTCTGACCCTCGAGTCAAAAAGTTTGCCCACCCCTGCTCTAACCACTGAGAAACACCGGCCAGGACTAGGTCTACTATTTTAAAGGCACCCTAGATGGATGCCTAAACATTGCCTCTCCCATCAGAAGTCCCTAGCACGTTCCAGTCTTGCTGAGATAACTGCTGCTTTCATTGCTTTAAGAAATAACTGGCTTTGAACTAAATTTGCATTTCTTTTTCAATGTTCAGGAAGCAGAGAAAGGTGTGAAATTCCTTACATTGCCACCAGTGTTACATCTACAACTGATGAGATTTATGTATGACCCTCAGACGGACCAAAACATCAAGATCAATGATAGGTAATCTAAGTGGGTGTGGAGGTGTGAGTTGATCGGCACTCGAGTTTTTGGGGGAGGGGTGTTAATCTCAGGTGCTTTTTTTAGTCTGTATATGTATTTCGGTCTCATCTCTGATGTATTTAGGTTTCCCTTCTACCTAGGTGCCCAACAGCTGTCATTTTAAAGGAATACTTTTGCTTAAAATTGGAGCTGCTCTTGTGTATCTCCCTCTCAAGGAGCCCTAGCCACTCTGCAACGTGGCAGCTTGGAGTCTGTGAGGAGGGTGTTCCCCACTCCACAGACTCTGCAGTACCAAATGCAGCGTTACATTTGTTTAAGCAGGACTCTCCGATATATTGTAATATCTCAGTTGGTGTTGACTTGTAGAATGTGGTACAATTTTCAGGAATCCTGAAGTAGGTGTGCGTGTACCTTATTCCAGGTTGGTCAGCCACCCTTCAGACTTGAGGGGGAAATGTATGTAACACAGTCAGATTGCTTGCCACCAGCTGGGTTTTTGCTCATCTGCTTATCCCTTGTCGTTCTTTCCTGTGGAGAATAGAAGAAATTGTCTCCACCAGACCCCACAGACTGGCAGTCCGCAGACTAAATCCAACCTGCTGGTGTGTTTTGTTGGGTCCTTACCTTGGTTTTGTTCCTATTTTTATTGGAACTCATTATACAATTTCATTTAAAAATTCCTATTTCTGGCATCTTTTAGGAATTCAGAATATTTGGTGGCACTGGGCCAGAATTCCCGTGGCTCAGGCGCTGCCCTGTTAGGGTCATTGTGCATGCTCTGCCTCGGGCCCCAGCTGCCCAGCTCACTTCCTTCCTGCCTCTGACAGCACTCCCAGTTACCATTTAATTTAAAAGCTATGGAGCCAATAATTGGAAAATAAGTAGAGTCCAGGGTATTTTTAAAAATCATAGGGTGGGGTTCTTGTTTACATGTCCCCCTGCAGTTTTGATTTCCCCACATTTCTCAGCCTGCAGGATACCCGTAGTGGTCCCAGTCCTGCACTGTCAGAATCGCTCATTAACACACACGCAGAATTATTTCCATCCTAGAAAAACCACTGTGTACATTTATCACAAGACTCACTGTTGTGTTGTACCCTTGGATTGAACATTCTGTTAGGTATGTCAGTGCTTTGTAGCCATTTTTCTCACATCTAGCTTCAGGTCTTCTATTGACATATAAACAATTATTTGTTCTATTGAGCAGGAGCTGCCTCAGAAGGAGTTCATAGGGCCTCCCTAGTCAGATTCTTACTTCCCTTTCCAAGTAAAGATGAGCCCGTCAATTAGAAGGTCTAGCAATAAATAAAGCCTAGGAGAGAAATGTTTTACGTGTAAATGAAACCTGGATTTCTTTAAAAATGTTTTTTTAATAGGTTTGAATTCCCCGAACAGTTACCGCTTGATGAATTTTTGCAAAAAACAGATCCTAAGGACCCTGCAAATTATATTCTTCACGCAGTCCTGGTTCACAGTGGAGATAATCATGGTGGACATTATGTGGTTTATCTGAACCCCAAAGGGGATGGGAAAGTAAGTGCTGGGTGGGGCCGGGTTGGGGAAGGGGGGTGGAGTTGGATGTGATTGCCTATAGGGGACTTACTCTGACGCCAGCCCAGCCTTTCCCTGTTCCTCCTGATCGCTTGTTAGCAAACAAGCCTTCTTGGCCTCTGGTTGATCTGTATGTTCTGATGTGTATTAATTGCTGATACTCTAAAGTCAAATAGTAAATTAGTGATCATACTTTATGTTTGTATCTCTGTTAGTATTGAATGTCGGAACTCACAGAATTCCTTTACACCTAAAATGAGGCAATTATTTTCCACCTAGGAGTAACAACAGAATAGTTCTCTGCTACCTGGGCAGGGAAAGCAGCATTGATTGCATGGTATTCCATGTCCCCTGTTGTCCACACTGTGCAATGCTCCGTCTTTCTTGGTTCATGTGGATCTCATACATAATCTTCCCCAAGGGGAGCAAGTGAGGGTCTCAGGCTCTGTGTCCAGCAGCATAGGGGGCCTGGGAGGATTCCAAAGATGGAGCCTGCTTGGCTCATGCTAAGGGAACCCTCACAGCATCTTTAATTGTGAGGCTGAGTACCATTTAAAATGACTTAATCCCTGATGAAGAGTCTGGAACATAGCTTTGTACAGCTATGCTTTTTTTAAAGTCAGGCCCTTACTATGATAATCTATCCATAATAATAAAAATGTAATATGCTGATTAGACCAGACAGCCGAACATCCTTCCAGACAAAGCCGGGGCTGCGAGGGTGAATTTCGTGCATCGGGCCTCTAGTCTATATATAAAAGCCTAAGCAACCATTACGACCGGTTGACCAAATGACCGGTTGCTATGACACGCACTGACCACCAGGGGGCAGACGCTCAACACAAGAGCTGCCCCTGGTAGTGGTCAGTACACTCCCACAGCCAACCTCCTGTGGGTCCTCCTCCCGACCGGCCAGCTCCAGTCACCGGCCAGGCTGAGGGACCCCACCTGTGCACGAATTGGTGCACTGGGCCTCTATCTAGTATGTCATAAGGTATAGGTGATCTGTTCTAGGAAAACCCCGCTGAGCTTGTGTGCTCAGAGCGTGATCTCTCTGCTGATGTCTCGTTGCTCTCCTGTCCAGTGGTGTAAATTTGACGATGACGTGGTGTCAAGGTGTACGAAAGAAGAAGCAATCGAGCACAATTATGGGGGCCATGACGACGACCTCTCCGTCCGGCACTGCACGAACGCATACATGTTGGTTTATATCAGGGAGTCCAAGCTGAGTGAGTAGAGTGGCCTGTGGTGCTCTGCACTGTGGGGAGCTTTGTAGTCATTTCAGGAGTCATTGCTGTGGTGTGTAGGCCACGCTACAGGGACCTCAGCTGTGTCTCCTGTGCAAACCCATGCTCTGATTAGTCTTCCTTGTTTACAACATCTAGAGGCAGGAGGGGTTGGGCTTGTGGGCCGTGATGTGGACTTGTGGCACCCAGTCGTTTCCCTTTAATAGATTGCTATAGCAATGATGACGTGAAACGGGGACCTTCTAAGAAGGGGAAAGGAGAACCTGGTAGAGGTGAATGAAGATGCATTTGTCCTGCAGGTGAGGTGTTACAAGCTGTCACCGACCATGACATTCCTCAGCAGCTGGTAGAACGATTACAAGAAGAGAAAAGGATCGAAGCCCAGAAGAGGAAGGAGCGGCAGGAAGCCCATCTTTACATGCAAGTGCAGGTCAGCCTCAGCCTCCTGGGGCCCTGGTGGGAAGGGGGCTGCTGAGAGCCACACTGCTCTGAGGGCTGGCATGAACCTGGGCTATTGCTGACAGATCAGAGATTGCTCTGGGCAGCCCTTGAGTGTTACTAGCTGAGTGACTGTGTAGGCCAGTTTCCCGACCATTTGGAGTATACAATTCAGTTCAGGGTAAGGACATAGCTATGAGAAGTACAGAGCACCAATACATTATAAAGTATTTCTAAAAAGTGTCCTAAGGGGTTAGAGGGGTGAAGGCCTCAATGGAAGGGTACGTAAAAGGGAAGGTTCCCATCGGGAGACGAGCACAGCCCGGATGGGGTGTGGGGTGGTGGTATGCCAGGCCATGGAAAGCCTGACACAGTATGGAGAAGGCAGGAGAGGTCCAGCAGGGAGGTGAACTTCTAGGTGGTCCTGGTTCATGGCTCAGTGGTGATTACCTTCCTGGAAAAAGGTGCATTGTGTATTGCCCTCCTCCCTTTTTTGGTAACAGGTTGTTACTGATTTTTTTTTAGAGAGGAAGGGAGAGGGAGAGAGAGAGAAACATCGATGAGAAAGAAACCTCAATTGCCTGCCACACGCCCCCTACCGGAGATTGAGCCCACAACCCTGGCATGTACCATGACCAGGAATTGAACTGGCAACCTTTTGGTGCATAGGATGACACTCAACCAACTGAGAGATACCTGCTGGGCATATCATATCTTTATATTATTTGGTGATCACCATATAGATGGATTTTTAGCTAATGCTTTTAGATGAGTTAAGAATGGCTGCATGAAAATGTAGGCTTTTGTCTTTTCTAAATACATACTTGATTTCATTCTTAGTCATTTTGAAACTTTTCTCCTTGGGTCTTCTGAAGACCAGTAGTTTTCAGCATTTTATTATTTGAACTTACTATTTTTTTTAAATCCTCATCCTAGGATGCATTTATTGATTTTAGAGAGAGGAAGGGAGATAGAGATTGAGAGGGGGAGAGAGAGAGAGAGAGAAACATCGATTGGTTGCCTCTCCTATGCACCCCAACTGGGGATGGAACTCGAAACCTAGGTATATGCCCTGACCGGGAATCGAACCCACGACCTTATGGTGCTCAGGACAATGGTCCAAACAGCTGAGCCATCCCGCCAGGGCTGTTTGAACTTGTTCTTGATCAGCATGGTCTCATTGTATTTGTGTGTCAGTTGTTCTGTGTGTTTGTGCATGTTTTCAGATAGTTGCAGAGGACCAGTTTTGTGGCCACCAAGGAAATGATATGTATGATGAAGAAAAAGTCAAGTACACTGTGTTCAAAGTGCTGAAAAACTCCTCGCTTGCTGAGTTCGTCCAGAACCTCTCCCAGACCATGGTGAGTGCCAGCTGCTCTGCTGATGGTTTATTTTGACTTCCACGCGCCACCCTCCTTTATACCTGGATAAGAGAGTACCTTTTGCGGTAGGTGCTGTGTGCAGGCTGCTTGAGAAGTGAGGTACCTGACCACTCATTTCCTTCTGGGTGGTGCCTGTGTCTGCCCTGTGACTAATGTTTCAGCTGAATCAGCAGTGAAGGAAAGTTGAATGTAAACTCAAATCTTCTCTTTTCTACACCTTCCTGTGTTTCTTTTTCTTATTCCTTTTGTAAAATGGCCACTTGAGTCTTGGAAAACTAGTGATCCTGAAAGCAGGGAGATCTATGATTATTTTTCTTATAGTCATAGAATGGTTACAGTGGTACAGAAATAAAATATGAATTAACTTTGTTTTCATTTAATTTTTTTCCAGGGATTTCCACAAGATCAAATTCGATTATGGCCCATGCAAGCGAGGAGCAATGGAACCAAACGACCGGCGATGTTAGATAATGAGGCCGATGGCAACAAAACAGTGAGTGTTGTTGACCGCTGCACACCTCAGCGTGCTCCGCTGCTGGGACTGCAACATGCCTCCCCTGTGGTCCAGCCGGATACGTTTCTTCAGTACACGAGTATAGCTTTTCACTCTCATTCTGCATTAAAATTTTCTAAAATTGGCATCTCTTTTGGAAATAGATGATTGAACTCAGTGATAATGAAAACCCTTGGACAATATTCCTGGAAACAGTTGATCCGGAGCTGGCCGCTACTGGAGCAACGTTACCCAAGTTTGATAAAGATCGTAAGTGCCCACCAAACACCCAGCCACCGTCAGGGCAGTGTAGTTGGGTTCCTGGGCCATCGTTCCAAACATATTGCCTTAAATGTTATTCCCTCGCAAAAAAATCTTAGTAATTCCAAAAACGCTCATAAACCCCTGTTGTGGTCGAGGCTTCATGATGAAGTGAAGTAGGACTGGCCATGGGCTGTAGCGTCTGGGAGCAGAGGAGGGGAAGCAGTATTGAGGCATCATATGACGTTCCATCTTCAGTTGTGGCCCCATGTTTGCTGATCACATTGGTCCTTTATATACCGGCAGATCACACAGAGCAGGCATTGCAGCCTCTCTCTCAAGGGCCAGGTATAAATACAGTGGACTCTTGCATAGCATGGGCTTGAGCTGCATGGGCCTACTTATATGTGGATTTTTTAAAAAGTGCTGTATGTATTTTCCTCATGATTTCCTTAATAATCTTTCTCTAGCTTACTTTATTGGGAGAATATAGTATGTAATACATACATAAAATATGTGCTAATCAACGGTTTATGTTATCCATCAGGCTTCCAGTCAACAGGAGGCTATTAATAGTTATGTTTTCGGAGAGTCAGAAATTACATATGGATTTGTAACTGCTTGGGGGGTTTCCCTGACCCCCAAGTTGTTAAGGGTCAACTGTATTTCATGCCTTGTGGGCCATATGGTTTCTGCCTGGCATTGTAGCAGGAAAGTGGCCACAGAGGATGAATAAATGGATAGTCTAGCTGTATTGCAGCACTACTTTATATGAAAAGCAGGTGGATCAGATTTTGCTATAAGATTGTTTTTATTGCTGTAAGTGGTCACCTCTCTAGTGTAGCAAAGTCATACAACCCTACCATTATTCCCATGACAGCACCCAGCCATCTAGTTAGTACTAGATCTTGAAACTAGGATTTCTAAGCTCACTGCCCCAATTCCACCTTCACTGCGTCACATGGAGTGTTCCCGGGGGTTCGATGCTTGGAGTGGGAGCAGTCACAAGCCTGGTCTGACAGTTTTAGGCACAGTGAGCTGTCATTTCAGTGCCTCACTACGTTTACTGTCACTGTTTTAACAGTGTACTGAGTGGTAAGACCCTAACAAAACCTGTTTATGAACCTTGTAGATGATGTGATGTTGTTTTTGAAGATGTATGATCCCAAAACACGGAGCTTGAACTACTGTGGGCACATCTACACGCCAATATCCTGTAAAATACGTAAGTCCTGCTGCGCTCACCTCTGCCTTGATTCTGCTACAGTTGTGGTGTACTACAGCTTTGCATTCTTTTCTTTCTCTCCCCTAGGTGACTTGCTCCCAGTTATGTGTGACAGAGCAGGATTTATCCAAGATACTAGCCTTATCCTCTATGAGGTTTGGATGGTTTATTTTTCTATAATCAGTGTATTGTTAGCAGATAGGGGAGGAATTTTTTTGCTTGTTTGACTGTCCCTGTATTTGTTACGGGTAATGTCTACTGTTGAGGTGACCTTGAGTTTAGGATCACATTTGTAGATTTGTGATTTTTTTACCAATTGAGGATCAATCAGTGATTATTACATCTTTACGGATATTAATATTTCCCGTTAGCTTTTTAACATACTAAAAATACATGGCTGATAGAACTGGGTGTAGGGAAAATACATACAGAGTATGGCCATATTAAACATTAGACAAATGTTGCATTGTAACTGTTTCATTTCTTTTACTCTAGGAAGTTAAACCGAATTTAACGGAAAGAATTCAGGACTATGACGTGTCTCTTGATAAAGCCCTGGATGAGCTAATGGATGGTGATATTATAGTGTTTCAGAAGTATGTACTTTTTGAAGGATTTGATCACTTTGTACTGGTAGCAGAATTTTTTTTCCCAAGTTTTGTAACACTGACAAGATTGTGTTGAGACCCCGAGTCAGGTGTTGTTTGAAATGCCTCACAATGCTGACACGCTGGCTGTCTCTGGGTCTTGGAATTAGGTGTTGAGCATTTTCATCAATGCTCTGATTTCCTAAAAATGTCTACAGTGAGCATGAGCTCTGTTAGCATGGCCGCAAAGGTCTTTGTGAAATAGCAAGATGGTATTTCTTCCCTTAAAACATAGGGCATTTCTGAGAATGCAGCTACTTAGGTAATTGATTTAAACCTGCATGTTAAACCAGCAGGTCTGAGGTCTTAGTCTGAAAGCAGCCCGGTGTTACCCTTTTCTTGCTGTTAAAGCGTCTGGTGAGGTGGCCCTGGCATAGGGTGTGGACAGGCCACTTCTGTCGTGTCCTGCTGCCTTGGCCTGAAAGTGCCTTGGTCAGGGAGCAGGCTGTGCCACAGGCTGTGCGGGCCCCACACTTCACCGCAGCCCTTCCCCTTGTCTGTAGAGAAGAGGCTCCTGTTTCTGTATTGCAGTCAGGACGGCAAGCAGCACTGTGCCTAGCTCAGGCACACCTGTACGTGATGGCCTTTCCCCATGGTCCCTGCTTACAAAGGTCACTGGCAGACCCCCACCACCACCACCTTAAAATAGGACCCTGAGCTTCTGTCTGTGCCTGTTGGTGTCACTGTGGTGTGAGAGGTGATGACCCCTGGCCTGGGTTTTGATTCAGTCTACAAATGTGTGTGTTTTTTTCCTCCCCCCAGGGATGACCCTGAGAATGATAACAGTGAATTACCCACCGCAAAAGAATATTTCAGAGACCTCTATCACCGTGTTGATGTCATTTTCTGTGATAAGACAATCCCTAATGATCCTGGATTTGTGGTCACGTTATCAAATAGAATGAATTATTTTCAGGTATTTGATAAAGGCTCTTCTCCCTTCAGATTTTGCACCAGAAAAACCACGTTCTTTTAAAAAAAAAAAATGCTTGCTGATGAAGCTGATGGATTTGGTTCAGGAGGAGGGGTCAGTCCTGCTGGTCTGAGGAAATTTCTAACTAAAGTGGGTTGGTGCTAAGATGGCCATGGGAGCAAAGCTGTTCTTACCCCAGCCTCAGCCTCCTCATCAGCTACCATGTCCATCTGCACTCTTGTCCTTCGAAACCCTCTCTACCTGGCACAGTGTGCTTTTGGCGATGACGGCGGTCCATTGCTGCAGTTAGAACATGCCAAGTGTGAAGCATTTCAAAAATCATCAGGAAATTTAAAAATCTATAGGCTTCACCTTAAGAGTGAAAAAGCCTTTAAAAGTTTATCTTCATCAGATATGCTACTCGCATGGTGCTGTTAGGTAGTAAATTCCTAGGGCACTGGAATGCGGCCCCTCATCCCACATCGGGTGAAGATGATGGGGTGCCTCGTTAATAATGATGCTTATAAGCAAATCTAGTGCATTGCGGCAGTGTGCCCTGGCGTTCTGATGTCTGGCTTCTGCCCCCCCAGGTTGCAAAGACAGTTGCACAGAGACTCAACACCGACCCAATGCTGCTCCAGTTTTTCAAATCTCAAGGGTAAGCTACACACACACACGTGTGTTTGGTCCTTGCTGCATGCTTTCCATAGTTCATCCAAACATATTGGAGCTAATTTTAATAAACTGGCCACATCACCTGACATACCATTTCTTGCTTAGCTTCAGATACAGACTTGTCACCCCTCATATCTTGACCACACTACTCCAAGATGTCAAAATAATTGGCAGCCTCATCTCGAGTCAGACTTACTTTATAGATACATCATCAGTAAATACATCTCCCACGTGTCAGCTGGGTCCGTCCCAGCCAGACTTCGTGTGCTGTGCCACCATTGCAGAGAGCACTCGGGTGTGGCAGCCGGCGGGGCGTCGGGCTCAGGAAGTAGGAACATTCAATGGAACCCTGTGCCAGGTCCCAGTTGCAAGTCTAGGTGCAAGGCCAGTGGTTTGCTTTTCTGCTCAGTCACCGATATTTGTTTTAGGCGAATAAAGAAGTCATTTATTTACATGCTGTTTTCTTGTGTAGTTATAGGGATGGCCCAGGTAACCCTCTTAGACATAATTATGAAGGTACTTTAAGAGATCTTCTACAATTCTTCAAGCCTAGACAACCTAAGAAACTTTACTATCAGCAGGTATGAGTCCAAATTAATGTGCCCGTGGGTCATGAGGAGAAGCCTTGGGTTTTGTGGAAGCGCATCTAACAGGGTGTCTCTTTCCTTCACAGCTGAAGATGAAAATCACAGACTTTGAAAACAGGCGAAGTTTTAAGTGTATATGGTTAAACAGCCAGTTTAGGGAAGAGGTAAGTTTTTTAATGATATGAATCTTCATTTTTATTGGAGCTTATCTATGGTTTCTGTCTCTCTAGACCTTGATAACTAAAACAACAAAAGAAAGCAAGAGGAGTGATAGCCTTGTAGCGGCCCCTGGGTCCAGAGTTGGAGAGCCCATGCTGGTGTCCTCCTGCCACCACCTCTGAGCCCTGGGAGATGAATAGCAGTGCATCTGCCTGAGCCTCCAGGACTGCTTTCCTTACCGGTTTGGGCATCTTAAGTTGATGCCCTGCTGCTTGGCCGGAGCAGTATTTTCCTCGAACCCCGTCAGGCCTCAGTGAGGGCAGCCGGCCTGCCAGTGAGCTGACACTGACTCTGTGGGCCACTCCGGTGGCGTGTGCTTGTTGCATACAGAAGGCATGTGCAGCCACACTTTAGGTGGTTCTAGGAAGTGCGACTGCTGGGATCCCAAGTCCTTTTCACCGTTCTTGCTCGGCCATTTTTGAGGGAAAAGTTGAGTCACATGCCACAGACGTTCACATGTATATGCAGTTGATCAGTCAGGCTTAAATTGTAAAGCCGCCTGGTGCTCGCGGCCTAGAGCAGTGGTCAGCAAACTCATTAGTCAGCAGAGTCAGATATCAACAGCACGACGATGATATTTCTTTTGAGAGCCAAATTTTTTAAACTTAAACTATATAGATAGGTACATTGTTATTAACTTAATTAGGGTACTCCTAAGGCTTAGGAAGAGCCACACTCAAGGGGCCAAAGAGCCGCATGTGGCTTGTGAGCTGCAGTTTGCCGACCACGGGTAATCAGCCTTCTTTCTCACTGTGCTGGGATCAGAAAGGCTTGTAGGTGACCTTTCAGGGGGTCATTTCCTGAGAAGCTGCTCTGGAAATGGCAAACTTTTCACATCATAGTGGCATTTTTGTTTGTTTTTTATTATTTGATTCATTGGGGTAACATTGGTTAATAAAAGTACAGTTTTCAGATAACCAGAAAGTGGCATTTTTATTGTTGTTAATCCTCACCCATGGATATTTTTCCATTGATTTTTAGAGAGAGTTGAAGGGAGGTGTAGAGAGAGAAAGAGAGAAATATCAATGTGAGAGACACATTGATTGGTTGCCTCCCGCATGTGCCCGGACCAGGGCCGGGGATTGAGCCTGTATCTGAGGTGTGTATGGGATTCAAACCCGGGACCCTTCAGTCCACGGGTTGACACTCTATTTGCTGAGCCAAACCTGGGCTCAGGGCAAAAGTGGCACTTCTTAAAGTCCCCTCAGTACTTGGTGGGCTCCAGGTTTGGGCAGATGGTCTGAGTGAAGTCTCACACCAGGGGCCCTCATGGCGGGAACGTGAGTGAGAAAGTCCTGGGAGCTAGAGACAGCTGAGGACATCTATTGCTGTGTTTTCTTTCTTCAAGCAAAATTGGTTTGCGGTAGCAGATCCTTTATGTTTTCTTTAAAGCATGTGTTTCATCTTGTCATTTCTTAGGAAATAACACTATATCCAGACAAGCACGGGTGTGTCCGGGACCTGTTAGAAGAATGTAAAAAGGCTGTAGAGCTTGGGGAGAAGGCATCAGGGAAACTTAGGCAAGTATTTCCTGGAGCCCTTGGCGGCAGGAGGAGTGGTGACCAGCCCCAGCCCTGCAGTGTGCTGGTGGACACAGCACAGCCAGAACCCTGTGCCTGTTGCCAGATTCCTCTTTCAGCTGTTTTTTCACAACAGTTTTTAAATATTTCATAGTTAAGCCATCTTTTCCTCCTTTCCTTCCAGTCTCCTGATATTAACTACCTATAGTAAAAATGTGTGCTTTAGGTAGGAACGCCAAGCAGAGGAAGGATGTGATTACAATAGAATGATAACTGGAACTGGGAAAAGCTGCTGGGATTGCATTTGTGAAATTGGACAACGTTCAGGCTGTGGACAGAAGCCACAGATGTGATGAGCAGTTTTTATTTCAAAGAGCTGGGTGCTTTTCTTTTAATCCTCACCTGAGGATATTTTTTCCATTGATATTTTTTGAGAGAGTGGAGGGGGGGGATGCAGGAGAGAGAGAGAAACATTGGTTTGAGAGAGATGAATCAATTGGTTGTCACCTGCATGCGCCCTTGGGGTCCGAGTGCCGATGCTCCAACCACTGAGCCAAACTGGACAGGGCAGGGCGCTTTGCTATGTCGCCACACAGTCAGCTCAGGACAAAACTGCCCTTGTGGCTATTGGCTCCCAGCACGTTTTTTCTCTAATTTTAATATTTGGAGCCCTTTGTCCTCCAAAGGCTCGGTGAGAACAGCTTCACCAGTCCTGCCTCGCGTGGGTTTAGAGGGAGATTCATCAGCTCCAGGGACTCAGCCTCACCGAGGCTTGAGGTCACTCCGCTTGAATCGCACGCTCGAGGGGCCACCTGGCCAGTGTTGTGCCCTCTCCCATGGGTGCCTGCTTTCGACATTTCCAATCTTTTATAAAGACAGAAGACAAGCAAATCTTGATAGCTTTATAATACGAAAACAATTTGTCAGTGTGTTTTCCCATGAATTTATATCTTCCACCCCCATCCTGTTTGTACAGGCTGCTAGAAATTGTAAGCTACAAAATTATTGGTGTGCACCAAGAAGACGAGCTATTAGAATGTTTATCTCCTGCAACGAGTAGAACGTTTCGAATAGAGGTAACTGCCCTGCTCTTGGCACCAGGGAGAGCTCTGAGTCCTTGGTGGGTGGGGCAGCTGTCAGCCGCTTGCCCATTGTCTTCCTGCGGTAAATCCTACATACCGTACTCAGTACCATTTTAAATGTACATTTCAATGGCATTAGGCGCATCCACACCATCCATTGCCACAGTCCCCATCTTCCCCCAATAAAACTCCGTACCCACTAACGTCTCCCTCCGCCGGCCCCTGGCAACCACCATCCCACTCTGAATTGGACTGCCCTAGGTACCTCATTTAAGTACAATCATATATAGTCTTTGCACTTATACATTAATTTTAGATATGGGCCACCAGACAAATCTATTCAGAAACTGGGTCCCTGTTGGTTTCTAGAGTTGCTGAAATTACCACAGTAACTGGAAAAAAACATTATTGGGTGTCTTAAAACTCATCATTTTCCTTAAAAAAAACTTGGATATTTTCTGGCTCTGAATTCTTACCATTTTAACAAGCCCCAAACATGGTGTTTTGGCAAAAAATAATGACCTAATTGCCTCATTGCAGGAGCAGGTCAGAATTAAAGTGTTTTGTCTGCATCAGGTGCTTTACTCTGCTCCCTGTGTTTAACTGTGTCCCCAGGAAATCCCTTTGGACCAGGTAGACATAGATAAGGAAAATGAGATGCTGATCACAGTGGCACATTTCCATAAGGAGGTGTTCGGGACGTTTGGAATCCCTTTTTTGCTGAGGATACACCAGGTGAGCTTTTATAGGTAACAGGTTGAGAACGCATGTCAAAACTTGAAGCCTCGCCCCCCTTTTGGATTAGCGTTGCTAAATCTGCTTCCTGCCTCTGTGGGCAGACCAAGGGCTTTGGTGGCGTCCCCGTGGGCCATGAGCGCTGTCACGGTGCACACAGGTACGTGAGCACAGTGTCCTCCTGTCCGCAGGGCGAGCATTTCAGAGAAGTCATGAAGCGGATTCAGAGCCTGCTAGACATCCAGGAGAAGGAGTTTGAGAAGGTACGCGCGTGCTGGACGAGTAATCAGCGAGCAGCATGCTGGAGGCTTCCCGGGAGAGCGGCCTAGACTCTGCAGAGGCACCCCCAGTTCATGGAGGAGTTTTCATTTTTGTCTTTTAGTTTAAATTTGCCATTGTGATGATGGGCCGGCACCAATACATAAATGAAGATGAGTACGAAGTAAACTTGAAAGACTTTGAACCTCAGCCTGGTAAGAGCCCTCCCACTGCTTTCCTTCCGTGTGGGGGAGGTCCAGCTGGCCAGCGGTAAGTAGCTGGAGGCGGTGAGCTCGGGTTCGAGTCCCCTGCCCATTTCCACAGCGGGGCGGCCTGGGCTTGCTGACCTCCTTTGTGATAGGAGGAACAGTAGCCTGAACCCATCGAGTCTCTTAAGGATTAAAAGGTGGCTTGCGTCACGTGGTGGCTGAAAGAACTAAGCTCCAAGGTCGAGGTGTGAAGGCTCTGTGTGGTCGGCAGGCTCTGGCAGAGCTGCCCGTAGAAGCTGCCGAGGCAGGCAGGCAGAGTGTGGGCGCGTTTGGCTCAAGCCCCAGCCTCACTGTGAACCCCCACCTGGTCGCTGTGAATCCCCACTTGCTTGTGTGGCCGCCCCAGGTGTAGGGGTCCTGGTACTTGTTCTGTGGTCTCATCGCCCCTCTTTCCCCACCAGGTAACATGTCTCACCCGCGGCCGTGGCTAGGGCTCGACCACTTCAACAAAGCCCCAAAGAGAAGTCGCTACACTTACCTTGAAAAGGCCATTAAAATCCATAACTGACTTCTTCACCCATGCATGCAAGGCGAGGACGGCGTGTGGGTGTGCCCCTTTAACAGCGAGGACTCTGGCACACGTGCACTTTAGCGAGTCTTCAGAGGAGGATTTGCTGCTGGTGTTCATTTTATTTTGTTGAGGCAGTTCAGTTTGGCTTCTCTGTATCTATTGACTGCCCTTTTTGAGCAAAATGAAGGTGTTTTTATAAAGCTTGGATGCCAATGAGAGTTATTTTATGGTAACCACATGCAAGGCAACTGTCAGCATTCGGGGAGAAGAGGTTAGTGGGACGCGTGACGCTGGCAGGAGGTCTCTAGTCTGTCTAGTTGGCAGAAGCTGCCTGGCTGCCTGCTGGGGGTCCCGGCCTCCACCCGCAGCCAGGAAGTCGTATGTTTAGGCTTGTCTGACGTATTTCCTTCAGTTATATTTCAATGGCCTTTTGTGCATCTGTAAAGGCAAAACAGAGAAACTCACAAGCTAATAAATAGCACTCTTTCCTTCACTGCGTGTCCTGTCGCCCCTTCCTCAGTCCTCTCCCAGCCGCCTGGGTCTTTCCATAAACTGTCTCACTTCCGTCAGCCACTGCTGCTCTGCAGCTCATTGCAGAGTGGGAGCACGGAGCAGTCTGACAGCCGTCCTGGGGTCTTTTATTAAATGGAAAGCACTGTTAATTACAATTAAGGTGTATAAGCTGCCTGTCGGCAGACTGATCTCGCATTCATGTGAGCAGGTGAAAGATTATACATAGAATTTCCTTAAAACACAACAGATGAACAAGAGAGCCTTTTAGCAAAGAGGGCATGCTCACTAGTGGTAGTAAGCTGTTGACTTTGTATAAAAGTTAAAAGAAAAAAAAAACAGGAAAAATGAAATTGTATATTTAATGAATGAACATGTACAATTTACTGCTGGGAGGAGGTGACTTTTTTGTTGGGTGAATCTACAGGTGACTCACTGATGTTGATATTCATTGTGTGTAGTTTATTTCAGTCCCGACCTTTTATTTTGGAGCTAAATGCCAGCTGCGTGTCTAGTTTTGAGTGCAGTAAAATAGAATCAGCAGATCACACTTTTTTTTTCATTCTTTTCCAGTATTTTTTGTTTGTTTCTGTAGCAGCGGTGTACACCAACTCTTCCTGTATATTGCCTTTTTGCTGGAAAATGTTGTATGTTGAATAAAATTTTCTATAAAAATGATAATTCAGTGAGTGATGTGGAAGTTGAGGAAGATTTCTGGCCTCCCCAAAAAGGGGCATGGAAAACCTTTTCATTTATAACAAGGTTTTACCGAGCTGTCTTACCCCCCTCACCCCCACTGCCCCGACCCCCAAATTTCAGTATTGCTGATGTATAGTTCTGCCTTGTTTTTTTTGCCTTTTACTAGTTTCATTTAAGCTTAAGGAATAAGAGGTTTTCCAGGTGAGAACCATATACAAATAAGAGGACTGGAAATATTGAAATGGTGGAACAGGCCGCCAGCATTTGAGCGGCTGTGGCCTGCCTCAGTGCACTGTTCCTGGTCCCCAGGTGGTCTGTGCCCCGTGATCCCTTTCCAGATTCCACTGGGACACGTGCTGTCACACCCTGCGCTGCCCTGGGCCGGTGTGTGGATCGCACCGTGCCTCCTTCGTCCAAAGAACATGTTGATTTTTGTGTTTTGGGTTCTGGCTAAGGGTAGATTATATAGTCTTAGGTCACAGACAGAATTCTCCCTGAAGTTATTAAATGAATCTTTTTGCAAAAAAACACTTTGCAGTGTGGGTGTTTCCTTTGCCATCTACTCCCAGTTTATGGCATCAAGAGTCTTCTGAGTTTCGGGGATAAGGATGGAGACACACTGCGTTTCAGGTAGCTGACTCTGACCCCCGAGGTCGTCCCATCCTCTGTCCTCTCCCTCTAAGATGTTGCTGTGTCGTGATGGTGTACCAAGTCCTAGAACACTGGGACCCTGGCACCCACAGTGTGAGGGGAAGGGGCCCACCGCGCGTGCACCCAGGAGCAGTGTGCTGGAAGAAGCTCACATTAAATTAAAAGCATACTAGGTGAGGACAGGGCTTGTCATCGCCATCCCTTTAACAGCAGTTCCCAGAGCACCTCCCAGTGTCCCTGCCCGTCCAGGGTGGGACTGCCTTTGAAATGATTGCTGGCTTTCTCTAAGAGCTTCAAGTTGGCTGCATTGGAAGTGAGGCACGTATCTCCAGTTGTGTCTGCAAGTGGCCTTACCTACTAACAAATACGCTCTAACCCGGAGTCTGCCGTGTTGGAGGTATGGCTTTGGTGTGTAACACGGCGGGAAGGAGAAACAACTGCAGAGGTGACCCGGGGCCAGAGTTCTGTGGCTGCAGTGAGAACAGGCTGTGTCCAGAACCATCGCTCCTTGAGCAAGGCCTTCCCGGGGCTCTCCTCGCCTCGCTTTGCGGCCCGTGTGGTGGTTGGGGTGGTGTGAGGGTGGGGGTTTCTCGTTTGGAGCTGCTGTGCAGTTGAATGCGCGATATGCTTTGGGCTCTGCGGGTTGCTGGTCATGGGACACAACTGCGCTGCAGCCTGAACACAGCCACATGCCACCCTGCAGTGCGGTGAGGCCGAGCCTGGTGCACTTCATGTACAAAAGGACAGGTAAAAGTCCAAGTTCACCGGCCCCGGGACGAAGCGGGAAAGGAGCTTGGGGAGGGTGGCGGGGGGGTTCCTGGTTGGCAGCAGTGTTTGGTGGTAGGATGGCCCCTGGGGTGGAAGTGCATTGGAATGGAGGTCGCCTTGGCCCTCACTGAACACATTCCCGGTGCTGTCACATTAGAGGCACGTTAGAGCCACGCTCCGCACGCCTAGGGGTCACTGAGCAGGGTTTCCGGCCACCGGCAGTTGTGTTGTGACCTGGCTCTCCAGCGTCCTCTGCCACAGCGACTTCATGTGCCTGTGCAGCAGCCACGAGCCACGTGTGGCCAGAATGGCCGAGGTTGTGAACTGCAAGTTGCCACGTGGCTGATGCCTGCCATGCTGGGCAAAGCCACTAGTCAGATGTGCCCCCTTTGTGGTCTGCTGCCCTGATGAGCTGGAGTTAAATGTGAGACGGAGCACGGGGGCTCTGGTGTTCCTGACCTTCGGCGGTGACCAGGAGCTGCATGGGACAGATAAGGGACCGAGTCCCCCATTTCCCAATCCCGGCCATGGGCGCGGTGGGGGTGGCAGCTTGTGCTGGCCTTTCCCCTTGCCCACTAGTGGGGAGTGGGCACCCACAGCCCTTCCAGACTCCTTTCTGTGAAGTCGGCATTGGGGTAGGGGTGGCAGGTTCAGGGTCAGCTATGTTCACTCCTCGCAGGCATGCGGGTGCGGGAGGGGCGTAACAGTCTGTACAACCATCCCTGCCTCCCCCCGCCCTCCATCCTGCTTCCTCGCCTCTGTCCACACAGCCTGGGCGTGGCTCGAGGTGATGGCCACTGGGAATGGCAGTCGGTATCCCCAGCTGTGACAGAGTCACTGATGGCAGAGCTGGGTTGGGAGGCCAGCGTCACACCCTCCTCTGTGCTCCCGTGATAAGGAAGATGGGGACGTGTCCTGTCTTGACTCTGGCCACAAATCAGCAGTCCTCAAAACAACCCGCCACTGAGCACGCCCCGTCTTGGTTCCCAGCGAGGCATGTGGGCAGCCCAGAGTGACAGGACACGGGCTTGGAGGCTGACCACCTAGCTGGGCTCTCAGTGGCTAAGTACAGAGCTGGCCTTGAAACAACCTCATTGCTGCATGCCACCCCGCCCCCAGGTGCCCCAGCGGGAGCTGCAGGCATCCAGGGCAGGGCACTGTCTCCCTCTGAGCGCTGGGCCCTGCCGGACACGCTGTCCCGGCCGCACTGCTGGCAGCTCCCAGCTGGTGCAGAAACAAACCTTGAGCATGGAAAGGCCAAGTCAGCCTTTAGGGAAAGCTGGGCACAGGGAGACGGTGAGGTCCTGGGGCAGGAGAACCAAGGCCGCCCCGGGACCAGGCTCGGACACTAGGCCACTAATAAGGGGAAATGATGCTCTGGGCCCAGGTGTCCAAGGCAGCGAGTAGGATTGCCCAAGGAGGGCGGAGGGCTGGGCCAAGGGGACAGACGTGCTTCAGTCTAACGCTTGCTGAATGTGCATCCTGTGCACCTGAGTTTTCAAAGAAGCTGAAAAGTCTGGATTTTCAGTGCGAATTTCCCAGTGTTAAAAGTTGACAATATTTTCTTAACATTGGGCCGTCTAATCAGACAGCCTGGGGATTGGATTGGTCCAAGGCTCTCGCAAGGGTGCTGCCCGGGCCGGGCAGGGCCTTGTTGAGGCGCATGGTGTCTGAGCCAGGTGAGTGAAGGAGGGCCTGGGACACCAGCCCCACAGCGGGCAGTGTGCTCATGCTCCGCAGTGGCCCTGCGCCTGCTACGGACGTCGCTGTCACGGGACTACCTGTGGAGCTGTCTGGGCATCCAAGTCAAAACCAGCAAGTGGCCTGGCCAGCGTGGGATGAGACACCAGCCTGCGGTCAAGCTCCTCGGATGAATCAGCTCCGGCCGTAGGCAGAGCCAGGCCTGCCCTGTGACCAACCCGCAAAGCCTGGCCCCTCTGCAGGGGTGTGGGCTTTGTCTCAGCCGGGGGGTTGGCTAAGTCCCAGCTCAAGACTTCCTCCTCTGGATGGTGGTGGCCACTGGGCCCGTTCTGCCTCCGTGACCCGCCCTTGCCTACGTGATGATGCTCGCCCTGTTTGAGACCGCATGGTCTCACCTTGAAACATGGGACCAGTTGGTGGGCCCCACGTGTAGACCCGAGGCCTTTCTGTCGCCCTGGGTCCATTTGGCGCCACTCTGTTCGGATTTATTATGAATGAAGGATTGGTTCCCAGGAACTGGGGGTCTAGTTTGTCAGATGCTTCACCTCTGTAATCCTAAAATCTCACTGAAATGGGTCTCTGGCCCAGCCAGTGTGGCTCAGTGGTTGAGCATTGACCTATGAACCAGGAGGTCACAATTTGGTTCCCAGTCAGGGCACGTGCCTGTGTTGCAGGTGTGCAGGAGGCAGCTGATCAATGATGCTCATCATGTTTCTGTCTTTCCCTTCCTCTCTGAAATCAATAAAAATATATTTAAAAAAGACAGAATGGGTCTCTGTTTGGATGTGGACATTGGGACTCTCAGTCCCACAGCTAGTGCCTCGGAAGTCGGTGCTCCCCTGGCTCCCGGGGCATCTGGGGTGCGGGAGATGGCAGCGGGGCAGCTGCAGGGCTGACATTCAGATCTGGAGAAATCTGTCACCCTTCCTCCCCCTGGACCTGCCAGCGCTGTCACAGCAGCTGTGGCCAGAGCAGCTCTCACCTGACTGGCTGGCTTCCAGGAATGTCTGCCAAGAGGCCACCGTGATGCTTCAGTGCCTCCACAACTCAGCTCTGCGCAGGCATACGCGCACAAACACGTGCACCTTCCTGCCGCTGTACCTTTTCTCGCTGCTGCACTGCATTCATCTTGGGTGGACAGGCCAAATTTCCAGCTGCTGGTCCAGTTCCTGGATCGGGACCAGCCACCTCCGCCCCTGGCATCATGTGCCCGGGATGGGGGAGCACTATAGCCGACCTCCTGCCACACTTCAGTGGATGGAATGAACTTCACAGGCCCTTCTGCCCCCTACTTCCTTCACTTCCTTCACTTCTTTCTCTCTGAAATCCATTTACATTGGAAAGACGGGATCATACATGTTTGGATTTTGCCAAGTGAAATAGCCCTCAGTTGTGCCCTGGGTTTTCCGTTAGCGCATGCCCACCCTGACCTCATCCCCAGCAGACTCATTTGCCCACAAGCACCTGCTCTAAGCCAGCGAGGGCCTTTTAACATCTAAGCTTTCTCCACGTTCCCGCAGTCACTGTGACGTGCAGGATGGCTCCTGTGCTGTGGCCATGAAGGAACTTCGAGAATTAAACCTCTGCTGGGGAGGTGGGGACAGATTTGGGCGGATTTCCTTCCTTCCCAGCTCCCATGAGCCTGCCTGCCCCTGGGGAAGTGGCAGAGGCCCGAGAATAAGTGATGGTGCTGCTGGGCCCAACAGAAGGAATGGGTGAGGGGCCGGGCAGGCAGTCCGGGGGCAGCACGGAGAGGCGTCGGGACGCGGGGTGGCTGGGCAGCAGCACAGAGGCGGGGAGGGGCAGAGGCCCACTCACAGTGGCCTCAGGTGACCCCCCGTTAAAATGTCAACTTCAGTCCCGAGCCTGGAAGGTTCTAGGCAGGCGTCTGGCGTAATCAGAGCTGAAGTTACTAATTCTCACCCGTTAATTAAACTTCTATGTGCCAGTCACTAGTTGCTGGTGAGGACCGGCAGGCGTAGGCAAGACTTGGGGCAGGGAGGCCGGGCAGAAAGGGGCTGGTGCCTCCCTTAAGGAAGAGCAAGGCGGGATATCAAGGAGAGAAAGAATTATTGTGGGGCAACAAGGACGGGACAGGGTGCTGCTGAGGGCGTGGGGTCAGAGGAGGCACTGCAGGGAGGTGGTCATGCCGTCCCCAGCGCCCAGGGCCACATGAGGGGGTGGGAAGAGTCATCTTGAGACCTATTGGCTGGAGATGTGGACTAGAGGACTTAGAAGCTAAAACTGATCAATGGATGGGCTGTGGTGGTTCAGAGGTCAGGAGAGGGTGGACCCTGCGCAGGGAGGGCGAGGCATCCTTCATTCACCGGTGCTCACAGCCCCTGCTGTGTGCGGGCGCTGGTCTGAGCGCCCACCTGACCTTCCTTGGGGACGGGAGGGCAGGAGAAGGGCTGGTGCAGCGGTTCTCAACCTGTGGGTCGCGACCCCTTTGGCGGTCAAATGACCCTTTCACAGGGGTCGCCTAAGACCATCCTGCAGATCAGATATTTACATTACGATTCATAACAGTAGCAACATGACAGTTATGAAGTAGCAACGAAAATGATTTTATGGTTGGGTCACAACATGAGGAACTATTTAAAGGGCCAGGAGGCTGAGAACCACTGGGCGGGTGGGCACTGCCTCAGTACCTTCACAGCCCTGGGCAGGAGCGGTTGGGGGGGCCCCAGTAGCACAGACACGGGCAGGGAAAGGTCACTTATTAGACATTTATTTCGTGGAGGTTCACAGGCGTTGGTAGCGGAAGAGTTCCCGCCGGCACACGGGACACGTGTGACTCACGTCCATTAAACTGTCCACGCAGAAGGGGAAGAGACAGCAGCCCAGGACACACCTGCAGCCTCGGGAGCAGTGGGCCGTGGGCCAGGGCCAGGCTGGGTGCGCCCGGCCAAGCCTGCACCACCCCCCCCCCCCCATGCTTGGCCCTGCCCTGCCGCCTCTGCCCGGCCAGCCCTCCCCAGCCAGCAGACCCTCGCCCACCACTGGCCGGGGTGCCTACTCACCCAAACATGAAGAGGCCTGTACACAGCAACCAGGTGAGGATCCCCGGGATCGGGGTGGTCACCGTGACGATGTAGTTCCCGCAGTACGGACACAGGTAGCTTACGGGCATGGGAGTCGTCAGCATAGGTGCACCGCTGAACACAGCTTGGGGGCAGGAAGGGGGAGGGTCAGGCCTCACGCCCCTCTCCTCGGCATCCACCACTGGGTGGACCCTCGCATGGCCTGTGCCCTCTGCAGGTTCTCGTGCTCCCCGAGCAGCCCAGATCGTCCACATGGGCCCCAAGCCCCCAGCAGTCCCCTTCCCTCCAACCACCAGCCTCAGGGCTCAGGGGCCTCCTCAGTCCAGACACCCTGCTTCTCTGACCGGGAACCCAGGGAGCTGGGAGCCTTTCTGGGTTTAAACTCGATTCAACATCAATCCAGTGTGTTCCCAGGACAGCCCGCCCACACAGTGCCTCTTGGGCTTTGGTTAACTCGGCCAGAGCTGCTTGCTCACCCTGCCGACAGAAAGCTCCCACCGACACGGGAAAGCAGTTGCATTGCAAACACACACACACCCAACACAACAGGAAACCCAAAAGCTTTCTTCTTGTCTCTTCCTCTTGCATTTGTACACAGGGACCAAAAAGTGTGCGCAGCCCTTGTAAACCGTGCAGCCCGGTGGGCAGCGAAGGCCGCGGTGCCGGCTGCGTCTCCTGTCAGGAGCCTGGCCCCAGGGCTTCTGGTGTCTGACCCAGGGCGCAGGGCCTGGTCTGGTGGACTGTTCAGAGCCATGAGGACTTGGGTTTTTCTGGGGCCCAGGGATCGGGGGTGCTGGGTTTGGACCCCTGAAGCCTCATGTAGCTGCCCCGTTTGGCAGAGAACTCGGGAAAGAACTGGCTGGAAGGGGTGACCCACGGGCTCTATGGTCTTGACGACAGTGAGGATGCCGCCTTCGCTCTGGCCCCCAGGAATTCACAACCGAATCCAGCAGCTCTCAGCCTTCCCAGTGTTCCCAAATTCCCTGGCAAGTGTTTAACAATCCCCAAGCCCAGGCCCCACCTGGGGGTCCGCACCCCCTCACCTGTGGTTGGGGTAGCGCCTTGGCAGAGTAGGTAACAGGATTCTACTTCACACGCATTTCCTGAGCACCTACTGTGTGCCAGACCTTCCCCTCTCCCCGCACTGGGGATTTCACATTGGAGGGAAATGTGCATGGCTTTGGGCAAAGTGGCCACTGGTGGCTGAGCGGGCAGGGAAGGAGGGCTTCCCAGAGGAGGCGCTGGGGGGCAGAGTCTTGGGGAATGGCCAGGGCAAGGAGAGGAGGCCGGAGCACTCACCTGTGTGAATAACTTGGGGGCCTCGGAAGTACGATTGAGGAGGCGTATGAGGTGGAGGAGGTGATCTAGGAGGTGGTGGGTAAGGAGGAGGAGGAGGAGGGGGAGGAGGAGGAGGAGGAGGAGGAGATGGCAGCGGTGATGGCTCTTTGGGAGAGAGGAAGGAAAACACACTTAGATATGAAGGCCCACTATGTGCCAGGCACTGAGCTAAAAACTTGGTCAGCCTGAGGGAGATACCCATTTTACAGGACAGAAAGCTGAGGAATGAATCAAGTTGGTTGTATCACTAATAGATGGAGGAGCTGAAAGGTGAACCCAGGCATTTCTGACTCCAGTGTGCCCTCACTGTCCTAGGATGTAAGACCTCCCTAGAGGCGGTGCCAGGGAGCTGAGGATGGGGAACTGCACAGGGCCCTGTAATTCCTTTCTTTTTAATCCTCACCTGAGGATATTTTTCCATTGATGTTTAGAGAGAGTAGAAGGGAGGGGGAGAGACAGAAACATGGGCATGAAAGAGACACATCGATTGGCTGCCTTCTACATGCGCCCCGATGGGGGCCGGGCATCGAGCCTGCAACCAAGGTATGTGCCCTTGACCAGAATCAAACCCGCCACCCTTCAGTCAGGGGGTTGATGCTCTAACCACTGAGCAACTGGCTAGGGCACCTTTTTTTTTTTTTTTAATCTTATCTGAAGCATTTGTTATGTGTCCATCTCTGTACTAAACACTTTACACCCCTCTCTCCACTTATTCTTGCCAAAACACCAGGGAGGTAGCTGTGTGGTGTGCCAATTTTGCAGATGTGGAGACTGGGCTCAGAGAGGTTAACATGCCCCCGGTAAGTAAGTACCAGAGTCAAGGACGGAACTTAAGCAGCCTCCAGAGCACATGCTACTCTGGGCCGCGCCCTGGCCTCTGGTCAGGACGGCTCCAGAAGCGGCGACATTGCCCCTGCTCCTTCTGGGAGGGGCTTTTTGGGTCTCCTCCATTCTTCCCACCTTGGGTCCCTCCTGCCCTGAAAGGGGCCTCTCGGAGTGCGGACACCCAGCTCTGTCCCTCGGCACCCCCAGCAGTCAGCTCTTGGCCAGCCCTGGGGACCAGCACACAGGTGGAGGGCTGTTTGGACAAGAAATTCTGGTACCCTGGGTCCCCAGAGTGTCTGGAGAGGGGGCTCAATGGGAGCCCCATAATTTTAATGACCGTGTGCGTGATGGTTGTGGATCCCCTGTGTTTCATTGGGAGCCACATAAGTGCTTTGCATGGGAACCTGACCCTCCCAGGAAAAGAGCTTCATGATTTGGGGGGAAGGGGGTCCCTGGGTTTCCCCTCCAATGCCTTTACCCAGAGTAGGAGCAAGAAAACAGTTCCCCCGCACTTCCTGCCACACAGTCTAGACTCTTGGGGACAGGAAGAGGTTTCATACCCATCCGCTGACTCCAGCAGTTCCACTTCATTTTTGTACCCATTTTACAGATGACAAAACTGAAGGTCAGAAATTCAGTACCTGGCCCAGGGCTGCCAACTAGAGACTCCCAATCTCCACTGAGTTAGCACCTGCCCAGCCCTACCTCATCTCTTAATCCTCTCAGCCAGCTCTCATGTGAGATTCAAAGGGATTCTGTGACTTACCCACACTCACATCGGCATGGCCAGAACCCTAACTGTAACTGTAACCCTAACCCACCCCACCCCATCTGTCCTGGCGTCTGGGCACACACTGGCGGCTGGGAGAGGAGGGCAGGCCATACCTGACTTGGGGGAGGCCTTGGCTTTGTTCTGCGGCTTCCTTGTGGTACTTTAGGGGAGGGCACAGGGTGTGAAGGCCCACTGTGTGCCGCTGGGAAACACAGTCCCAGGTAGGGGAGAGCAGGACTTGGGGGGTGAGGACTGGAGTGAGCGACCAGCTCAGCAAGGGGACAGATAATCTCCGCTCCCCGAGCCCCGCCCTCCGCCCGTCCCTGGCCTCCCCCAGACACTGAAGGGCACTCTCACCCATGGGAGGGTTCCGTCTTGGGACCCCGGGGGCCCTTTGTTCCAGCAATGGAATCCGAGCAGGATCGGGTTCCGAGTTCTGAGCAGCTGAGTGCTTGTCCCCAGGAGCCCTCATGGCGGCTGGCGGCCCGCAGACAGGAGTGCAGGCCTTCGGGGCCCCTTGCTGGGCCTGGCTCCGGTGGAACAGCCATTGTGATGTGTGTCCTCACAATGGCCAAGGGCAGCTTCAGCTCGGCCCTGCCGGAGGGCAGCCTGCCAGGCGCCCAGCTGGGGACCCTCTGAAGATGGCCCTTTGCCGTGTCCGCTGCCCACTGTGGACAGAGTGTGCGCCGGCCCCTGATCACAGGCAGGGTGGGCGCCCCGATCCCGGGCCTCGCAGACGTGAATCTGCTGGGAGCTGGCGATGCTGCTCTGAGGGATCGATCCTGCGCTCAGAGATCTAGCTGTGAGGACGCTCATGTCTCTTACTTGGAAGTAGGTGTATGTACATGCACATGTGTATGTAGGTATACGCATACAGTAAATATGCATGCACACGGGTCTGTCTAGGTACAGATGTGTGAACACAGGTCTATGTGTCCACACATGTATATACATGTACACATATGTACACCTGTACTACAGTGTATAATGTGTGTGTGTGTATCACAACCTCAACTGCCTCTCCTGCTGGTTTAGCTGTGAGCTTGTGCAAGACCCTCACTTTCTCTGACCTCCATCCCCTGGCTGACCATCTGTAAAATGGGGGTAATAACCGCTACCTTATAGGGTTCAGCCAGGTGCAGCGCACGAAGCCGGCGTGGTCACTGTGAAATGACCAGTGGCCTGAGTCGCCCAGAACAGATGCTCCCACCGTGTGCGCGCTGGCTCCGTGCCTTAGCCGGGGTCGGCCAGGGAGAGCGCGGGCAGGATCTGTGCGCACAGGCACGCGCCTGGACAGTGTTTTCTGTGGCTGCTCAGGCGCCCCGCTGTTCTGGGGAGCATCCGGGGTAGCCTGCAGGGCTATCAAGCCGGCAGCAACCAAGAGCTAGGGCAGTGACGGCGAACCTCTTGAGCTCGGCGTGTCAGCATTTTGAAAAACCCTAACTTAACTCTGGTGCCGTGTCACATATAGAAATTTTTTGATATTTGCAACCATAGTAAAACAAAGATTTATATTTTTGATATTTATTTATTTATTTATTTTTTAAATATTTTTTATTGATTTTTTACAGAGAGGAAGGGAGAGAGATAGAGAGTTAGAAACATCGATGAGAGAGAAACATCGATCAGCCGCCTCCTGCACATCCCCCACTGGGGAAGTGCCCGCAACCCAGGTACATGCCCTTGACCGGAATCGAACCCAGGACCTTTCAGTCCGCAGGCCGACGCTCTATCCACTGAGCCAAACTGGTTTCGGCTTGATATTTATTTTATATATTTAAATGCCATTTAACAAAGAAAAATCAACCAAAAAAATGAGTTTGCGTGTCACCTCTGACACGCGTGTCATAGGTTTGCCATCATTGAGCTAGGGCGAGTCTCTAGCAGAGTTGCAGGTGTGGGACCTGTTGACCCAGTAGAACTTTCTAGAAATCCATCCCCAAGGTAGACCAGCAAAAATGTCAAATGACGCAAACACAAGTTTCTTCAAGGCAGCAGCAAAAACTAGACAAAAACTAAAAAATGTCTCTATGTATAGCAACTCTTCAGCTATGGAAAATACAGGGAGAGAGGGGAGTGAAGAAAGGAGAGAGAGATTGGAGGGAGGGGGTAGGGAGAGGAATGAGGAAAAAAGAAAAAGGAAAATCCCCATTTATTACTATGACATAGTTTCTCCAGGATAGAGTGCTAAGAACAACAAACAAGATATATGTGTGTGTGTGTATATATATATATATAACCTCCATAGATAGATAGAGATAGAGAGAGATAGAGATAGAGATAGAGATAGAGATAGAGAGAGAGAGAGATAGAGAGAGAGATAGAGATAGAGATAGAGATAGAGATAGAGATAGAGATAGAGATAGAGATAGAGATAGAGATAGAGATAGTACTACTGTATGTGTAAGGAAACAGGGAGGGAGGCCTATAATTTCCAAGAAGAAATAAAGGAAAGATTAATAAAACTAAAGTGGTTAATGTTGAGGGAGACAGGAGTGAAAGCAGGCCCTCTCTAAATGCACTTTGCTATATTGAGTTGACTTTGGAACTATCTCATATTTTTTCTAATTACTAAGAAAGTATGTAAAAAAGAGCAAAGCAACACTGAAAAACTGAAAGCAACCCAAAACAAACAAATGTGATTATCAGTATTTCTTATAGGGGCCCAGCCAGTATGGCTCAGCGGTTGAGTGTTGACCTATGATCCACGAGGTCACAGTTGGATTCCCGGTCAGGGCACATGCCCAGGTTGCAGCCAGATCCCCAGTGTGGGGTGTGCAGGAGGCAGCCGATAGATGTTTCTCTTTCATCATTGATGTTTCTGTCTCTCCCTTCCACTCCCTTCCTCTCTGAAATCAATAAAAACAAATTAATAATAATAAAAAGATCTCTTACAGGGGACACAGAGCATAGGCCATAAAAGAAAAACCTGACAAAATGACTTCATCAGAGCAGAGAGCCACCTCTTTAAGACACCACAGAGAAAACAGAAGGCAAGCAATGGCTCGAAGAAGATATTTGCAGTCCATATGTGTGACAAAAAGCACAGGTATCCAGAATATAAAACATCTCCTTCCACCCAGAAATAGTTATTTAAAAAATGCAATATTAAAAGTGGGCAAAAGATCAGAACAGACTCTTCACAGAAGAAAACATAGGAAGGGCAATGTACAAAAAAGAAAGAAATCAAGAAAGCCATAGGGAGCAGTTCCACTCCCAGATTTTTACCAGGAGAAATAAAAGCGTGTTCAAAAAGAGACCCACATGAGAAAATTCAGAATACCCCAAATTTAGAAACAACCCAAATATTTGTCAACAGGTGAGTGAATAAACAGATTGTGCATATTTCTACCAAGGATTACTGTGCAGCAATAAAGACAATGAATCATTGATGTAATCAGCAAGATGAATATATCTCAGAAAATGATCTTGAGCAAAAGAAACCTGACCTGCCCGGCTGGTGTGGCTCAGTGGTTGAGGGCCAACTGATGAACCAGGAGGTTACAGTTTAATTCTCCATCAGGGCACATGCCTGGGATGTGGGCTGGATCCCCAGTGTGGGGCGTGCAGGAGGCAGCTGATCGGTGATTCTCTCTCATCATTGATGTTGCTGTCTCTCCTTCTCCCTTCCTCTCTGAAATCAATAAAATATTTAAGAAGAAGAAACCTGACCTAAAAGAGTACGTCTCCTGTGATTCTATTTATGTGAAGGTCTAGCACAGGCTAAGCTGTGCAGTCTGATCAAGGTGAAGGTGCCACCTGGGAAGGGAGGGGTCAGTGTGCAGGCAGGTGTGCCCGGCGCAGCCAGTGCCGCTTCTCTCCGGGCGCCATAGATCTGTGCGCCCTTACACCGTTTTTCAGCTGAAGAGGGGGAGAGTGTCTTGAGGAAGCCCTTTCCTGATTCCCACAGAGGCGTCGTCTTCCTGGGAAAAGGAATGCCTGGCTCCAGCTGACCCTCTCCCAGCCGACCCCTGCCCTCCCCGCCAACTCCTTACCAATACCCACGGCGTCCACACCCCGGGATGTGTTGGTGTCTGAGGTGTGGTGTACTGCTTCCCCCGGCACCGGCATGGAGGAGGTGCTCAATTAATACAGGTTCAATGTGCGAACGAATGAACTAGCGAATGAACGAATGAATGAGCTGCATGAGGTATTCATCACAGCCCAGCCCCATTTAGCTTCAAACCCCCTGGATATCACACCCCAGGACCCGCGGTCCTGGTATAGACTTGCAGTTACACATCCTGGGATGGGGTGGAGACTGCCTTCTTTGGGGATTTTGAGGGTGACGGTCCTCCTAACCCAGGATTGGGATCCTGGCTGCAGTGCCTGAATGGGACACTCTGAGGGTGAATGAATGGCTGATGGACGATGTTCTTGGGAGCCCCACCATCCCGATATGGCCACCAGGGGGCAGCACCAGGCTGCGGGAGTCAGCCTCGCCTTATCCCTTTGGGGTCTGCTGGGCTGAGCGGTCCCCATATCGGCAGGGACCCAGGCAGCAGGGCTGCCCCTGCTAACTCCTTTGAAGAGTGTCCCCATCCTGTCCTGGGGCTGAGGACTCCTGTCCCACGCTGTCTCCTCCAGGCCAGGCTGGAAGGAATGAGGAGCCAAGAGAGGGCTTGAGGCCAGCACAAGGTCACACCGCAGGGCTGTGGGGGAGCCAGGTTAGAACCCAGTCTCTCTGTACCCAGACACAGGGTCATGGGGGGAGCCATGAGACCTGGCTGGGCTCTTCCTGGGCCTCTTCTGTGAGGATCAGTTCTCTGCAGGGCTCAGGGCTCCCGGAGGACGTTGTTAATTGTTTGTTTTAAACCTTTGCATCCCCCACATAAGGCCTGGCATAGAGGAGAAAGAAGGTGGTCAGAGCATGGGCCGTCACTCCCAGCTGTGTGACCCCCGGCAGGCCTCAGGTTCCTCCTCAGCTAAATAGATCTGATGCTAACAATCCTCCCTGCTGAGTGTTATGAAAACTCGGTGAGACAGGTTGACCTTGCTGGCTGCTTCTTCACACATGCCTACTTTCTGTTTGCTCCATCCTGCCCCCGGGCATTTGCACTTGCTGTCCCTGTGCCAGGAGTGCTCTTTCCCAAGATATCGCATGGTTCATTTTCATCATCAAACTCTTAGCTCTCAGGCCACTCCTCCTGGAGGGTGGCCAGAGACCCTTGGCAAGAGGAGCCACCCACACTCTCCCATAACTACCAGGCTCAATTTTGACACATTACCTCTGTCTGGAATTAACTGGTTCATGTACTAGTTTACTTGAGTATCATCCATTACCCTTAAAATGTCAGCTCTAGGAGGAGAGGATCCTTGCCAACTTTGTTCACAGCTCTCTCCCCAGTACCTAGTGCAGTGCCTGGGACATAGTAGATGCTCACTAAAGATGAGTTGAGTGAGTGACGAATGAAAGGAATCCATAGGAAACACTGACCCCTGTGCCTGGCAAGTAGAAAGCTTGCAATTAGT